GTTCATTCATTTCTTTTTTTCAGAGTGGAAAAAGCACTATCAAAATACATCCCATATTATACAGTGGTAAAAGAGAGAAGCCTTAAAATCCAAAGTTAAACGTGACTCTTTTTCAGTGTTTAAACATTTGTGTATCTAGGGTCTGTTCCAGGCTTCACAGCCTGGCAAGGTACATGTTTTAGGGCAGAGCGAAGCTTGGAGAGGTTAACTGACGTGCTCAAACCCACAAAGCAAGTCAGTGGCAAAGTCTGGATCACTGGAATACCCAATAGTTTTTCTTTCTTCCCTTTTTCTTTTTAAGGTTTTATGTATTTATTTTTAGAGAGAGGGGAAGGGAGAGAGAAAGAGAGGGAGAGAAACATCAATGTGTTATTGCCTCTCATGTGGCCCCCACTGGGGACCTGGCCTGCAACCAGGCATGTGCCCTGACTGGGAATTGAACTGGCAACCCTTTGGTTTGCAGCCCGTGCTCAATCCACTGAGCCACACCAGCCAGGTCTTCCCTCCTTAAAAAAAATATTTTATTGATTCTTTTTCTTAGAGAGAGAGAGAGAAACATTGATTTATTGTCACACTTCTTTACCCATTCACTGGTTGATTCTTGCATGTGCCCTGACCAGGCATCAAACCCCAAACCTCGGTGCATCGGGATGGCAATCTAACAACTGAGCCACCTGGCCAGGGCCCAGCAGTATCTCCACCACAGATCCTTATCCTCCCAAACAACCTGCCTTTCTAGATTCCCTGCTACTGTTACTTGCGTAGAAACAAAGTTCAACTTTACTGCCACAGGACTGTACTTGTCCCACTAGGCTCGTTTTCTGGAGGGCAGAGGAGACCCCACCCACAGGCTTTCCATCCCCGCTGACCCTGCCGAGGAGATGCCGGTGTCTCAGGCCTGAGAAAGTCCGCAGTCCGATCACCAAGTCTCGGCACGCCAGGAAGGCTACGGCCTGGAGAAGGCTGTGAAAAAGATGGCAGGTTCCCGGCATTTCCTGGACGAATCCCTTTGTGTCTGGACATCTGCTTCCAAAGAGGAAGGCAAAGGATGGAAAAACGTGAAAACAGGGAGAAACTCAAGGCGGCACGAGAGCAGCCTCTTTTCTGCCCCGACAGGTCGCTCCCCAGACATCACCCCCCGAGTCTCCTTCAGGCTGTTCCTTCCCACTGCTCTCCGGGTGTGTGTGTGTGTGTGTGTGTGTGCGCGTGTGAGTGATTAGTTCCAGATTCGCTAATCAGGGCGTGTGACCCCCTTTCTCACACGTGCCCTAGTCAAAGTCACAGGAGGTACTCGGCCACCCTCTCAAAATGACACAGTTGGGAAGACCCTTCAGCCAAATGAGAATAAGCTTTAGCCATGTATTCCTACCAGTTCTTCTATCCTTGTAATCAATCACAAGTTATAATTTCTAGGGCAGCGAGACAGACACGACCTGCTGGCCAGACTGTGACAGGTTATTTACACTGGATATCCTTTAAGATACAGTGCAGACAGGACAAATGCAAAGCATTTAAAGGAAACAGATCTACTGAAAAAAACAAACAAATAAAAAATAAAACAGTAGCTCACGAAAACTTGGCTACCTCTGTTTAAGACTGGGAATAAAATGTTCGTTCCTCTGCTGGGCTTGTAAGAGCTCTCTGCAACCCCAGCACCACGGACTCGGTACTGCATGGAACCGCTTCCTCGGAGGAAGGCTGGGTGGGACAGATTCACGCCCTCTCTTCAAGGTCCTAGGTGCCTGCTGGCGGCTGGCAGCCGCTCCTTACCTTTCTTGCCCTTGACGCCTGGCCTGTGCAATTAGCACCTTATTATAGGCTGGCGTCTGGTCTAACGATCATGAGTCTCAACTGAGCACTTTCATTGTCTTGTTCATGCACTAGTTTTAGCACCTGGCTATCCAGGGGTCATAAATCCTGAATTCCTTCCAGGCAGGCGTGTGCCGATTCGCGTGTGGGTTCCGTTTATCTCCTCAGGCCCGCGAGAGCACCAGGGACTCACGGGCGAGCAAACAAACGCTTCCTGCTCGTCCGGAGAGCTGCCGGACATTTGTCCCGGTGTGAGGCACCTGTCCCCGCGCCTATCGACCCTTCGGACCAGGCCGCTGGCCCCTCTGCTGTCCAGGGCTCTCCGCAGCCTGCCCGCAACCCCTCCCCTTCTCTAAAACGGTTAGTTAGACACGGGAATCTCCCATTAGCACCACGGTCTATATTCCTCTAAAAAAAGGATTCAAGGAAAGGAAGTTTACGTTCGAACGGACTCCTTGCTGTTGGGATGAAAGCCAACTACAGCTTACAGGGCTGTTACCAACTCCGCTACAAACACAGGCGTCCTTTGCCGAATACTCTGGGGAGTGACTTGGGGCCTGGAGGGGGACCGCACGGAGGAATGGTGAGGTGCGCCACTACGGGAGCCAGTCTACCTGGCCTCACATCCAGGCTCTGCCACTTCCTACCTCGGTCAAGGCAATGGACCGCTCGGCACCTCGGCTTTCCAGCCTGTGCAACAGAGATGACAGCATCTGTCTCATAGAGCTATCGTGGGAACGGAATCAGATCATCTCTGTAAAGCATTTCAGAGCAGTGCTCAGCACCTAACAAGCATGAGGTCAGGTTGGCGTTAAACAGAACTGATGGAGTACAGAGGTTTAGAATAGACAGACCTACAACACAGCCTGCTCTCCAAAGAATCTGACAGGGATGGAAAAGGGCGCTGGTTTAAGAGAACAATGTGCCATTCTCAGCTTCTTGATTTCCTGGCTAACATACATTCTTTAAATTGCTTCAATGAACCGAAAAAGAATTCTGAACTTATGGGCTTTGAAAATGTCCAATGCATTGTCACAGCAAACGGGGTGCCCATGCCCTGGCCGCGCTGCGGTGGGACAATCGGTGCAGGTGTCACTGTTTGGGCAGAGAACTGAAAAGGAACACTCTGCTGTCTCCACCCCTCACATCGCTGAGCCTAGCAGGTCAGACACCACTCGAGATATTATGCAGCAAATACTGCCAACCCTTCTCCGTCAAGGAACCTGCAGGCCCTCGTGGAGGAATCAGTTTGTAGAGACGTTCTCTATTTTTAAAGACACAGAGAGAGATGACTCCGCAACACCCAACTCAGACTTTCCTCGTGTCTTCTCTGATCTGTCCACTCGCTTTCACTTTTTAAATCTTCAGTCCTCTTAGACAACAACCCAGCCACTAAAATGCCACATCCAGTGCCTCTCTTTTCAGAGCCATCTCCAGCACAAAATACCATTTTCAGCATCAGCAGTCCCCGGCTAGCTCACAACAGAGGCCCTCTCGGGGAATCCAGGCGCCCAGCCTCGCGCAAAGGAGTCTGGGTGCCCCAACAGGTGGAAGGAAACCCTTCCGGCCTCACCTTTCCCAACTTCCCTGGAGGGCCCAGCCCGGCCCTGCAAGACGTCTTCCCCGTAGACGCACCTCTCGAGAACTATGTGGAGCCAGGAGACTCAATGCACATCTAGTCTAGGAAGACCATCTATTACGGGGACTCCCAGTTCATCGCTTAAGAACGTGGGAGGGCATTTCCCTTCCGTCCCTTCCTCTGACCCACCCACGTCCCCGTCCCACTGTGCGCATCCGTGCCGCCATCAGGTTCTGTGGCTGTGTCGGCCCTGGATGGAGCCTGCCCTTCTGTGAGGGGAGCTTCCCTGGGCAGAAGCTGTGTCCTACTTGTCTCAGTGTTTCTGAGCCAGCCCGAAGCCCAGCCACAGTCAGCTGCCGAGAGCAATCTGTGAGACTGTACGGAAGATACTACGGGTGAAACACCAAGCACTCTTTGGATGATCAAGCCATTTTGTTTTGAGAACAAGAATGTTCCTCAAAAATGAGACGTTTGGAAAAGTCACCAGATCCCCTCTGCTTCGGTCACTTAGGGACAACTTTTCTGCATTTATCCACAAGGTGTCTTTGAAATCTGGACCGTACCCCGTCTGCCCCGCCTTAACGGGCTCCTTCAGTGACCCCATATTCACCTTGTAGGCATCCTTTCCGGGCATCCAGGCCCGCAGTCCTATACGGCCCGCCACCACCTGGGCTGTTTTTTCCCCTCTAAGCGGCTGTGCACAGCTCCGAGATCCTTCCAACAAGCCAAGGCTTCCAGCCACCGCTGGGAAGCGCTGGGGACGCCTGGGCACTGCGCCCTTCGTCGGCGCCGGTTAGCACGACTCTCCCCTCTAGCTACTCTTTTTGGGATCATGCTCTGGCGACCTTCAGGGGCAAGGGGACCCGGGAAGGTCCCGGGTCAGCGTTTGGTAAGCCCCAGGGTGAGAAAGCGGGGGATGGGAGGGGAGAATCCCTGAGGTGGAGCGAGGACGCCTGGGGACTCACTCCTGGCCCGGACCCTTCCCACGGAGGACAACCCAAGGAGGGAGGGCTTCCTAACGCCTCTTCTTTCCGACCATCGTAGGGACCAGGGCAATGCAGGGTCGAGGCGGGCGTGGTGGCAGGGGAGAGCGAGGAGAGGGCCCCCGGGCCATTCACGGAGTCCGCCTCCCCTCGCTCACGATCTCCCTCGGCCTCTGTCTCTCGCACACACGACCGGCTACTTGAGACACGCGCGCGCGCGCACACCCGCACACGATCTGCCACTTCCACTCCAGCTCGGAGCAAACTGCGCCGCGCGCCTCTCCCGCTGCGAGTCCACCGGCTCCGTCCCCCGCTCGCGCCTCCCGCCTCAGCCCGGCTTTTCCGCCAACCCCAGCTGCCTCTCCCAACTGACCGTGAAGTCGGAGGCAGTTCCCCAGTCCCAGGCCCCTAGCGAGGCTCCCGCCGCAGCCGCCGTCGCCTCCTCCTGCCGTCCCCGGCCCGGGGCCCGGCCTCGGGCTGCAGCGATGGCTCCCGGGCACGAGGCGCCGCGGCTCCCTGGTCTCGGCCAGACACCCGGCGGCGCCCAGGAGAAGCCCATGGAGCTCCCGGCAGTGGCGGTGGCGCCTACCGGAGCGGCCGCCGCGCAGGCCGATGACGCCTGGGCGCGAGGGGGGCGCGGCCGGCTCCGGGGCGTCGCGGGCTGATGACGCAGGGCGCGGCCGGGCAGCATGGCGTCCGTGTCGCTGAGCGAGGCGGAGAAGGTGTACATCGTGCACGGCGTGCAGGTAGCTCCAGTCGCGGGGGCGGCCGCCGGTCCCCACGGGCCTGCGGCGCGGGCCGGCCCTAGGGTCGCCCGGGAGGAGCGGCGGGTCTGGGTTTACCTGGTGATGCCGCGGCCAGCGTGCGCAGCCTTAAGCCGGCAACCCGGGGCGCGTTTAGAACCGGGCGGCGGGCGTCCGTTTAGGACTGAATGCGTACCCGGTCGAGCCTTCCGGGTCTGCGGGGTTCCGAACCCGGGGAAGAAGCTGCAGGCCGCGTCCCCGAGGCTTTAGCGCGGGAGCCCTGCCGCACGGCCATCTCTGCAGCCTTCGCGCGTCGCTTTTCTGTGGGTGTGCGCTTCTGGTCCGCTCTTCCTCGCCCGGGGGTAGGGACTCGCAGGGAAAGAGAAGGCACCGAGGCGAAAGCGCTTTGAAAATATAAATGGCCGTACACATAAAGGGGGAAGGTGTTTAAAAAGCGGCTCCACAGCCCGTAGCACAGTTGTTTTGCTGTTTCCCATTTGCCATTGGAGAACTAAGATCCCTGCGGGCAGCCACGGCTTTTCTAACATCTTCAGCGCTCACGCTCCATCCCTGGTTGTAACCACGCCACAGACAGAGGTGGAGAGTGCGGAGCCTGGTAGTGAGCTACCGAGGGAAGCCAAGTGCGTCCTCCTGGCCTGTGCCCTCCCTCCCAAACCCCCCAAAGCCTAGCCAGAATCCTGTATAGACTCAATCATTTTGTGTTTTACTTTTCGCTTTTAGTTCAGTGTGGTTAATTTCGGCTCTTCTGGCCTACCTTTAATGTCAGCCTGTGATTCCTTTATTATTTCAAAGATGAATGTAAAATAACGGTAATGGAATATAAGGTATACGTGGGGGAATCCCCCCAAAAAAACCCTGGAATTTATTTATAAAAAATTGTGTGTTTATTCTTACATCTTAAGTTACCTTCAAAGTACTCCCCATTTGGTGCAATGCATCTGTCGAGACTTTTTTTTCCACTGCTCAAAACAGTTTTTGAACTTGTTGATTTTGATGCCTTTTAGTGCTGCCATTTTTTGTTTCACCTCTTCCACATTGGCAAAACGTTTCTGCTTGAGGACTTTTTCTTATGGGGAAAAAAAGAAGTCCTTGGGAGCCAGATTGGGTGAATAGGGAGGGTGGGGCATGGGAGTGCTGCCGTTTTTAGTCAAAAACTGCTGAGCACTCAGCATGATGCGGGCAGGTGTGGTTTAAATCACAGGTCACGAAATGGATAAATGCGATCAAAGAGTCCTCAAAAAAAATTCACCAAAGTCGAATGCAGCCTCTCACAACACCACCAGCTGGTGTACTGATACAGATGGGTTCTTAAAACATTCACCTAGCAAGGGAAGCCTGTACTACAATGGCTCACCATCCAGAATATAATTCTGGGGTTTTTTTTGGGGGGGCGGGTCTCCTCTCGTATATCAAGGGGTGCTGTAGTTAGTGGAAGCCAGAGAGACTGAGGAATACTGGGGGCTGTAATGCTCTGAAGCCTTCCCCAAGGAAGTGGAATTGCTCTCCTAAATCCGTGTGCCCCTTCTGTGTGTCTAGTGGACTCAGTGTTTAATTCATTCCACCTGGAACTGAGCTAGACTGAGGGATAGCCTGCCCTTATATAGCACCACGCTGGAAGGAAAAGACAGAAATTACAGATCTATCTGTGTGTTTGTATATATGACTAGATGGAGTGCTGTGAAGGGGGAAGGCCTGCCTAGTCTGGGAAGTCAGGGGAGACTTCCTTAAGAAAATAGTATTTGAACTGAGCCCCTGCCCGACCAAGAATTGAGTAAGCTGGAGCCCGTCAGAAGGAAAGGATGCTAAGTCCACTCCCTGGGGGTAATGGTGGAAGATCAGGTTGCAGAGGGGTGCCTAAGGGCCTTAGAGGCTCAGCTGCCGCCGCCTCATGGATCTTGGAAGGTATTAATCGGCTTGTCTGTGGGACACCCCCACTTAAGGCCTGGCCAGTGTCCAGCACTCGCGAGGTACTCAGTAACATGGATGGAGTGAGGCAGGCCTTAAAGGGGAGACGAGTTGAACAGCGTTTTCAGTTGTTAAATTCAGCCTCTCTCGCCAGTAGCATGGGCATATTAGGGCTACAGTTGGTGAGCTCTGTGCAATTGGCCCAGTAAGCCTCTTCATGAGCATTGTTAACATTGGCCACAAATTTGCTGTGTTTATGGAGGAGCAAAACAGAATGTACACGATTCGAACAAAGATCAGAACGCAGGTGAGTGCGCCTACCGCAGATGCCCACCAACTCCGTTCTGAAGTCACCTAGACTCAGGCCAGGTTGGTTCCCCTGTGCCAGCAGCGCACCTGAAGCCGTGCCTAGCCGGAATCCTCTCCTTGTCCCTAAAGACCCAATCATCCTGTGTATTAGTTTTCATCCTTGGTCCTCTTTGGTTAGTTTTGGCTTCTGGCAATCCTCGCCCTCAGCCTTGATTTCCGGGATGTTTCATCTTGGTTTGGTGGTAGTTAGAGGCAGTTGAAAGTAACCTCACAGTGGGTGTTGAGGATTCAGTTGCTAGTTATGTTAACCAACAAACTGGCTCAAGCAAAAAAAAAGTTGATGAGAAGGATATAAATGCTTCTCCGGGAATCGAAGGGCGCTTAGGTCCTCAGGCTCTCTCCCACCTGCGCGTCTCTGCTGCCTTTCACGCCTCCCCTATGGTCTCTCCTCTCTCTCGGCTCTGTTTCTCAGGCCCTGTGGTAGGGAGCTGTGGCTACCTCTCAGCTCCTGGGGTCACAGTCCCCTCGTGTAAGAAGCCAGCCCTTGCGGTTCTCCTCTAGACTCATCGCCGGACAGAGTCACTAGCTCAGACATGGCCACCGGGGAACAAGCCACACTGGAAAGAGAGCAGTCTGTGGGCAGGAGGATGGTTTGTTTTAGGTTCTGGCAGAAAATGGAACCTGACTGAGATAGTTCAGGAGACCTTTATGATGGGACTCTTTTTAACAGTGTGAGCGGGTTTCGGGCAACCAACGAGAGATGTCGGAGAGCCAGGTGAGCAACCACAGGGTGTCAGGACCACCTCTAGGCCAACGGGGCGCGGGGAGCGGATGGTGTTACCGGACGCCAGTGATTCCAGGAGCCTCGGAGCAGGGGCTGCCCACAGAGGTTGTCGTCTGGGGCAGATGTAGCCTCCCTCAGAAGTGTGGCCCCAGGTCAGGGGTGTGTGCGTGTCAGGGGGGCTACTCTGTTCTTCTGGTACCATACTTTCATTGGCCAAACTCAGCCAGAACCAGCAAAGGGAGTCCAGGTGGTGCAGGTTGGAGGGAGTGGACCTGGACGGGGGATGGATCTGAGGAGGTGGGACGGGGCGAGTGGAAAGGCTGACAAACGGGTACTTTAATACGTGATCTAGTTGGTTCCTGTTAAGTCCGCTCTCGGCCTTTGAAGGCTGGGACGTCCCGCTTTTGTTAGGTGCGTGTTCTGTCCCAGGTGCAGACGGTCGGCCGCACCCAGAAGCACAGTCCTGTCCAGGCCATTTAGCTACGTTTTTCTCGGCAGAGGAGGGGAAGTGCGTGCGGCTGTCCGGCTCCGTTTCTCCATTGTGCCCCCGGCATGGCCTGTGAGTCTTGGCTGGGGCAGTGGTGCAGGGGAGGGGGAACAGGGCCGGAGCCTGGTCTTCTTCAGCCATGAGCCCGAGCAGCCAGGACTCGGCTGCTCAGTCCGGCCGTGCGGGGCACTTGGTGTTGGGCCCTGTGCCATTGCCCTTTCGGGACCCCCGGCCCAGAAAGGCTGCACCCAGTCGCTGTGCAGGGTGAGCGGAATCACATCCTTGCAGAGGCAGGCGGGGCTCCTCCACGGGCTGGGAGAGTGAAGGGGGGCAACGTCTAGTTGTGCCCACTGTGCCGTGGGTCTGGGCCTGCAGAGCTGGGCCGGCCAAGCTCCCTTTCCTGAGCAGGGTGGTCTCCTAATCCTGGAGACGCTCCAGTCTCTGCTCGCTGGCAAGCCAGAGCGAGGCCGTGTGGGGGTGCCACCACCCCAGAGAGTCTCTGGAGCCTGAAACCGTCCCAGGGGAGTCAGATTAGCAGAGCTGACTTGCCAGTATCTGTGAGGAAGTGATAGGACTGGGTCATCTGGGTAGAGCAGCTCTGGGCCGAGTCCCGTGTCCTTCCACTCTGTCACAAACAGGACACGGTGGCGCCTCAACTCAATATCCTCATCGGTGACCTCTCTCTGGGGTCGTTTTGGAGGATTCAGTGAGCTAATTTAACCTGCGCCCAGAAGCAGGCAAAGGGAACCGCTGATGGGACTCCCGGGTGCCACACCCGTGCTGAGAGGTCCCCCCCCCCCAAGTGATTTGTGGTTTTCAGATGCTCCTGGAGCTCTGTAGTCAGGGTTGTTCCGCTTTCGAGCTGAAGAGACGGGCTCAGAGCTGTTGAGGAACTGGCCCAGGGTCACAAAGCTGGCACGGACAGCAGAGATTTAAATATAGGTCGGAGGTGCCTGTACCACACCACACCCAGTGGGCTGGGGTGCCGCGATCACAGAGGTAACAGCCCACAAGTTGCCCGGCGCCATCCTGGCTGCAGAAGCCCTTTATCGGGAAGGGTGCCCCTGCCCCCCCCCCAGGCAGGCGCCGCTCCCAGGCCCATCACTGGTCCACCTCTCCGTCGGTGTTTAAAGGGAGCTTTCAGTTCGGGGCGGCCGGGTTTGTAGGCGTTCACACCTGGGCGCCCCTGAGTACTGCAGGTGGGTACAAAACGCCGCAGGTGTGAGGCCGTGAGCCGAGCGGGACAGGAGGTGTGGCTGGTTTCCTGACTTTTCTGGGGCAAACTGGGTTTTTTAAAATACGGCCCTCCCTGCGTGCAGTGATCCGTGGGCTGGTTTGTTTTATTTTGTTTCATTTTGGGTCTGTTTTGCTCCTATTCTTTCTGAGTGCTTTTTTTTTTCCTATAAAAAAACGTGTGGTGGTTGTATCCTTCGAAAGGAGAATTTGTAGCTTTTTGTTCATGTCTGTGTGTCACTTGAGCCTTTCCCACGGAGCCTTTCCCGGGGCAGGGGGTGGTTTAAAGGCGGCAAAGGCAGGGTCTGGTGAGGCCGTTTTTGTCACCTCTCCCGCCCCACGCTGTGGGTCAAGTAAGTGGGTCACCACCACGAGGCGCCGTGACGCGATCTTCCCGGGGCGCGTGGTGGCTCACAGCAGTGGTTGGAAGCCCTGTGTCCTTGCGGCCTCCTTGCTTCCGGTTCCGCCCGCCCACCCTTTGAGGGAGGCCTGAGCCGACGCCCCTGCACAGTGAAGGGACCCCGGAGGTGCAGGGGGTCGGGTGGGAGTGTGGGGTAGCACTACGCCTGGGAATTCGAGTGCGGCCTGCTGGCCTTGTGACCCTGGGCCAGCCATTCGGCATCTGCCCACCTGTTTCTCTACTTGTACGATGGATTAAACGCACTAACTGGGTAGTGTGTTTAGTGCATTATCTAATATATAGTAAATGTACATTGAATAGTAGTTACTGTTCACATTCGCAAATAATGGTGCCTGTTTAGATTTATAGATACGTAGAATTAGAGACACACCTTGGAGGCCATGTAACTCCATCTCCGTGGTTTTACACATGGGGAACTAGTCCGTAGGGGGAAGGGACCTGTCCTACCAGGGCCGGGCAGCTAGTCAGCGGCAGGACCAGGCCCGGAGCCCATGGCTGATGATGCTCCGAGCGCCTGCTCACGCCTGTGCCGTGCCTGCAGCCCCGGAGGGCTCCCTCCTCGAGTGACGCTCCTGGGCCAGGTTCCCACTCCCCTCCCCTGGGGGGCACACCTGGGGGCGGGGCACAGAGGAGTCAGAGAATGACCTAGAAAGCCTCCCTGTTCTGCAGTTGGGGTTGTAAAGAGACATCTATGTAGTTTTGAGTTCTTCTTCCCAGAGGCTCCTTCTCCCCGACTTGAAATCCTGTTGCTCTTCAAGTCGACGCTCCCCAGACTGGAGGCAGGCAGGCCGGACGTGGGTGGGCTTGCAGAGAGACTTCGGTTTTTCCCCTTTCACAGGAGCCAGGAGTAAAAGAGCTGAGACACACGTGGCACGTGGTGGTAGCTGGTGCTGCGGGGGCAGGGGGAGTGGATAGGGGTTTGCTTTCTTGAACCCTAACTGCTCAGAGTCAGTCAGTCCCAGTAGCCCGCCGGGTGGCTTCAAGGTGAGCTCCTGACAGGTGACGTCCGTCAGGGCAGTGCTTTCACCGTCTGGGGAGCATTGACCCCCTTGAGGGTCTGGTGGTCCTAAGGATTCTTTTACCGAAAAAAACAAAAAACTGCTGTCAGGAAATGTTTGCAACAATGAGAAAGATCTCTGCGGGCCGATGTGGAGGGATTTCTCACTCATGCGCGAGGTGTTAGAAAGAAGCACAGTGTAAGAGTGTGTGTAGGAGATCACCCTCGTGTAAGAAGGGGGCATTAAAAACATTCCTGTGTCTGCTCATTCGTGCAAAGGAAACACAGGAAGCGAGGCCCAGGAACTAAAGAGACTGGTTCCTGCTGGGCATGGGGAAGGGGGGCGGGGCTGGAAACAGAGGAGGGGAGGGCGACTTCAAGTTCTCTGAGCTCACCTTTCCGCTGGCCTTGATGCCTAGGGCCCTGGCAATGGGCCACGTGGCCAAAAGGTGAACGAGCAATTAAAGGTCACCAGGATGTGGGGGACCCAGACTGGGATGCAGGCTGGTACAGATGAGTGATAGCCACACCAAAGGACGAAGGGAGGGGGACGGCAGTTGGAGAACAGTATTGTGAGCGAGGGGGGGGGGGCATGGGGCTAAAGGCAAAGGGAACTCTGCACAAATACTGTGCCCGTCAGTGAGTTTGTTTTGCACTGGGGCCTGGGTTAGCTGTTCCGAAACTGCTTTTTCTCTCTTTTTTTTTTTACTAAGATTAAACAAAGACCTAAAACATTGTAGATCAGGAAAGCCTGGGCTCCCCCTGTCTGAGAGGCAAGTTACAAATAAGCCAGGGAAGAAGGTGAGAACAACTATCAGTGTGAACACGTGGCTTTTTAACAGATGCGTGGGTAGGTACAGGAATAAACGCAGGTGTGTGCGCGGGAGAGCGTGTTTCCCTGCTCTGTCTGCGGAGCAGCTCTGGAAGCAGCGACTCCTCCACAGCAGTGAACCTATTTACTGCCCTACTCTGGATTTCCTCCAGTGAAGGGAAGCAGGGCCCCTGGGGGAGGGCTGGTCCCCGGACGGGGGCAGGGAGGACAAGAGGCTGGGACCTCTCGGGGTGCTGATGAAGATGGGAGGCAGGTTGACGGAACACAGGAAAGCCCCTGTGGCTAGCACCAGATCTGGGGCGACAAGATAAATACTGGCACTAGTGGATTACAGCCACAGCATGAAACAGACACTCTGAGTCACGCCGACCGCAGGAAGCAGTGGAGGACGTTCAGTGGGGCTGAGGGACAGGCAGTGCCTGGGCCACTCCGCAGACGGACAGTGCAGCCCGTCTTTGGCATCAGGGGGTGGCAGTGACTCGCGAAGAGCAAGGGGCACTGCCCGTTTCTCCAGGGGAGTCGGGAGGAGCGCGTCGGCCCGGCAGTCTGTTGTGGGCTTGGGATCACGGCCTCAGGGCTGCGGTTGCCTGTTGCCTTAGGAGGACCTCCGCGTGGATGGCCGGGGCTGCGAGGACTACCGCGGCGTCGAAGTGGAGACGGACGTCGTGTCCAACACCAGTGGCTCCGCCAGGGTCAGGCTGGTGAGTGCTGGGGCCGCAGCCCGTCCTGCCCGGGTGGGGGCTGGGTGGGGGCTAGGTGGGGGCCGGGTGGGCCCTGGGGAGCCCGCTGCAGGCCCCTCCGGGCCTTTGCGGCATAAGCTGCAAAGACCCCTCGTCCTCTCGAAGGGCCGCCTTCCAAGTCCCGGCCCTGCTCTTAAGGGGGCGGGCCAGGGTTTGTGACTGGGACAGGAGGGAGGTGGTCGGGGGCCTGGCCGCCTGCCCCAGGGTGAGGGCCCTTCTGTGGTGCGTCCGCAGGGCCACACGGACATCTTGGTGGGAGTGAAGGCAGAAATGGGGACGCCGAAGCTGGAGAAGCCGAACGAAGGTTACCTGGAGTTCTTTGTTGACTGGTCAGTACTGTGCAGATGTGCTTAAAGGGGAACGGCGTAAAGGATGGGGGTGCAGGGAGTGGGCTCTAGCTTTGCAGAAACGTCTCGTTGGCAGAGCAGGGGCCAGGCCAGCCAGGCAGCCTGACAGCCGCAGGGGCAGCCGCTGGGGACAGCAGGGTCCACGGGCTGGGCGGCCGGCTGGCCTCGATGCTGGCGTCCTTCTCTGGTCAGCTGTGTGACCTCAGGCCAGTCACTCCACCTCTCTGTGCCTGAGCTTCTTTATCTAAACACTGGGCGTGATAACACTGTCGTGGCGATGAGGAAACTGCACGATGGAGACGGAGCCCCTGGAATGACCGGCTCCCACGGGCACTCAGTCCGTGTTCTTTCTCTCCCTCTCGTCACCTCCCTTTTCCTCGGGTTGGGGATTTTTGGAGGGTTGTTGGCCCAGTCTCATCTTCTGTCTGTAAGTTCATCTCCAGCCGGGGGGGAGGGGTGACAGGGGGCCTTCTTGAGGTGGGTAAGGGTCTCTGTTGGCTGCTGGTGGGCACAGGTATATATTACTGATACTGTATTGGGGGTCTCCAAGACCACCGGCACATTTGGAGACTTGCTGGAAGTACTCACAGGACTAGCAGAGAATTGTACTCGTAACTTAAGATTTATTACAGCAACAAAAATGCAGCGACACCTGTGTGCCAGGTGACTCTGGAAGTAAACCCCCTAGAGACTCGGCACACGAGACCTGCTTTTGGGTGCCGGTCACGTGAGCGCCCTCTGCTGAGCGCACGCCACAGTACCAGGCTCCTAGAAGGAACACAGGTGTTCAGCATAAGCCATATTTTCACAGAGACAGTCTGGCCACAGTGACCACAGTTCCCTGTGGGCTGGGGCTGAGGGCCACCCTCCTGCCGCTGCAGCGGGCACCCTCGGGCCTGCCGGGCCAGCCCATTTCCGCACAGATGCTAACCCCACGTCTGTACAGAAACTTAGAGTCTCCTGGCTCCCTTCCCAGCAGAAGTTCATCTCACAAGCTGTTTGTGAGGAGCATGAGCTCAGAGAGGCTGAGTGACCCTCCCAGGGTCACACAGCCAGGTCTCGCCGACTCTGGGTCTTTGCCCCTTCTACTCTGTGCGGCCTTGGGAGGCCCGCTTCAGAGGGACGTTGTGCTTAGAGGTCCCAGAACCTGTCTGCCTCCACCCTTCCTTCCAGCCCCTCCCTGCCCCCTGCCCTAACCTCAGAGCAGTTTCTTCTCCTGGCTCTACGCAGCTGTGAGTTGTGCAGTGGAATTGGCCCGTTCTCAGCTCCCACGCGTGATAGTGACCTTGGTCAGGCGTCCCGCTCCCCTCTTCTTTGGCTCTTGGAGGGGGAGAACGGCCTCTCCCGGCCTTGAGCTGTCCGGTCAGTGCAGTGAATGGTCACAGAGGGGCAGACCCTGCAGCTGTGAGGCCTGCAGCTTGCCTTGCTGTTCGCCATCGTCTGCCTCACCGTCCTAGCCCAGAGCCGGTCACCAGGCACCCCAGGGAGGTGCTGGGTGCGGGAGACCCGTCTCACCGGGGCTGTGTGTCTGAACAGGACCTAAGTTTGCCTGCTGCTCCTGTCCCTTTCTTGTCCCAGCCCTAAAGGGGGTTGGCTCCACGCGGAGGGGAGCCTTTAAGCGGCCTCTTCCAGGACCTGGCTTCTGGGACCAAGCCTCTCTGTCCCGGCTGACGGTGGCTGCCTGCCTGTCTCTGTCCCCCTTTGTCAGTCCCAGGAGAACCGAGGCAGGCCTAGGAGCTCCAGGCCCGAGGGAGTGCCGAATCCCTCGGGACCCACTGCCTGACAGTGGCGCTCAGTAGCACCTGTGAGTGGCCCAGTTAGCGCGATGGGCCCAGCCGGTGGGACCACCGTGAGAGACCCGTGAAACCCCACTTTCCCACAGAGAAGGGGGAGGGCATCGAGCGCCGCTGGCTGCCTGCTTTCTCAGAGCCTTGCTGGAGTCTGCAGGGAGCACCTCTGCTCCGACCCAGGGACTAGGAGTGTCTTCTGGGCGCCTGTGGGTTGTGCCCAGCAGCAAAGGCGCTGCCCTCCTTGCCCCCAGGCCACGGGCAGGGGCCTCTGCTGGAGAGCGCAGGCTGAGACAGAGTTCTTACCCAGCGGGAGGAAAGCTTTTGGGTGGGGAAGCGGGGAGGGCCCCTCGTGCCAGTCTGAGCCCAGCTTGACTGAACTACTTGATCAGCTACTTCCAGGTTTTAATGATGTAAATTCCCAGAGGTAGAAAACGAATTGCTAACTTACTCTAGTAAAGTTTGTCTGCCTGAAACAATACACAGAGTCTGAGGTAGACACTGCCCGATACCCAGCTGCCCTGATCTTGACTTCCCGGCACCCCCCCACCAGTGAAGCAGCAAAGACTCGGGGTCTCCTGAGCTCGGCTGGCACTTGCCCTAAACTGGGAGCAGACTCCGGCCTCCCGACTTCTGTCTCGTGTCTTCGTGAGTTTTGCCTGAGAACAGGCCGTTTTAAGCGAGAATGTTGAAACGCCAGGAAAAGGTGGTTTCCATCTAAAGCCCAGAGACAGGCAAGAACTGAGTGAGCTGGCGGGTCACCCTGGGTCACCCTGGGTGACAGTCCATCGAGGCGCTTCTCGGCTGTCTGCCCACACACGTCGGTGGGTCCAGGAGCTGGGCTTTCGCCTCCCGCAGAGGCTTCAGGCTGTCACCGGGGGGAGCCGAGGGGCGCACGGTCCGCTCACAGGGGTCCCAGTGCACCCACACGGGTCCTTCCCTTTGGGACTCGACTTCTTTCCAGTGTGCTCGCGTGCTTTACGTTAGTACTGAGCCCTGAGCTTCGAGCCCCGAACTGGTGGGTGGAGCCCCTTGGTCCGTTCTGTAGCTGCTTAGTGCTACCCGAGGGAGGCTCTGTTCTTGGCTGAAGGGCCAGGGGCGGGGGCCAAGCGGAGCGGAACCGGCAGAAGCCACTCAACGCTGCTGTACTCTGAAAGTCTCCAGAGTTGATAACTCTTCCAGTGGCTTCAGACAAAAGCTTCAAACAAAAACTCACAACATGCCTGTATTCCCGACCCGTTCATGGGGCCTGGGGCCGCTTCAGTCAGTGCAGAAGCGAGTGTGAGTCAGAGGTGGGGGCCTGTCTAGGGGCGGGTTGGCTGCCCGCCGGAGGGCTCCTGAGTCAGCCTGGGCCCAGGTACCCAACCGAGGAAGAACTTTGTCTGCGCGGGCCCAGCCTGACCTGGCCGTGGGAGCCCACCGCAGGTTTGCAGGCTAGGTGGGTGTGAGGGAAGCCACCATGGGCCTGGGGTCTGAAGTCCCACTGCAGGTGGGCGTGGCCTTAGTCTCGGGGGGGGGGGGCCCCCCCTTACACTGGAGGGAGACTCCAGGCAGGGGGAGTGGAGCGGAGGTGGTGAGTCAGGAGAGCTGGGGAGCTGGGAGTGGCCTCGCTCCCAGGAGGTTTATTAGTTGATCCAGCTCAGTGAGCGATTTCCCAACAGCCCTGGAAGAGCGGATCTTTACCAGGGGCCTGCCTTGGTTTGGGGAGCTGTAAAAACATGAAGCACCTGGTTTTGAGCTGAGGAACCTGAGTGTATCCTCTCCCCTCCACCTCCTGCTGCGACGCCCGTGAGCAGGGGCTCGGATGGCCAGCCTGTGTTTCTGTCTCTTTTAACTCTGTGCCTGGTAGACACACCTTTTGTTCGGGACTCCCTTGGTCTCCATCCCTTGGCTCCAGCGTTTGTGGTCTGCCAGTGATTCCCAGCCCGGCACCCGCTCATTGCTTGGAGGCATAGGACAGGCCCAGGGAGAGCTGCCCTGACTGGCGTTCGGCTACCAGCCAAACCCGTGCAGTGGCACATGGACGGGGGCCGGCCGCCTGGGTCCGTGTCTCAGCTCCCCAGCCGCCAGGCGTGTGACCTTGGGCGAATCACAGAACCTTTCTGTCGACAGCAGCGCCCCCCCAACCCCCGGGGTTGTGGGGAGAGTTAAATGAGTTAGTACATCCAAAGTGCTCCGAGCGGCGTCCTCCTTCCTCGTGGAGAGAGAGTTGGACCCCCTGAGGTCGCCCAGAGGCCGCAGCCCACCTGTATGTAAGACTTCTGTTTCGCTGATGGGGGCTTTGATTAAAGATGGATTGAAATGCCTCCAGACTGGGCCTGCAAGCTTGCCCGTCTCCGTCACTCCCTGCCACCTACTGTGGCCCTTTGTGGAGATACAGGGAGTCGCCCAGCCGGCCTCTGCGGGCACTTGCCGTCTAGTTCCCTGGAGACGGCCTCTCCAGAAAGGCCCCTCGTGCTGCACAAGCTCCCCCAGTGGTGGTGAGGGGCCCTCACCGGTCTGCTGCAGCCCTTCTCCTCATCCTTGGGCAGAACACTGGGCTCGGGCTTCTCTCATCACACCCGAGGCCCTGCACCCCACCCCACTGAACAAGGTCCTGCCTTCCAGCCTCCGCCCCAGAGCCACTCCAAGGCCAGGGCACCGTCTGGACGCAGGAGCGTCCTGTGGTCCCATCCGCCTCCACGCTCCCTTTTCTGCCTGTCTACCAGCCATACTGAAAGAATGTTGTGTTTAAGAAAAGAAAAAAAAACTTTTTAAATGGGAAAAATTTCTACTTTACATTAGCCCAGTGTCCAAAAAAACCCATGTAAACCAATTGTGCGTGGTTGAGCAGGTAGATTAATTCAGCCCATCGGACCTGGGGCGCCCTGTGAACCATCATCCCTCAGGGCCTGGGAGGCGCAATGCGGCTCCTCCCGGGGAATGAGTCACCCCCCAGAGGACGGGACCCACTGTAATCAGGGACAAGGAGACACTTTAAGCACAAGCATCTCAGGCTGGATTTGTCTGCACAGGGACCTACATAGATATGTTTTAAACACTTAAAAGATGGAACTTAATATCAAGTGCTTACTGTTTGAATTAGGAACGGGTTGTGTTTTGCTGGCTGTGCAACATAAACTTGTTCCCTGGTGACTCGATGATTTCACTGTAAATGAGCTTTTTATTGTGGCTCAGCGTCTGAGGCCAGCAGAGGCCGGGAGTGACCAGCGGGGTTGCTATGGCAGCAAGAAAGCGTCTGTTGGGGATTTTAAATTGGGGCTCCCCTGGCTCACAGTGGTGAGGAAAGACTAGCTGATTAGAGAAGCAAAGTTATTATACAGCAGTATACCCCGGTGGTTTGGGGGTTCATTCTGTACCCATATTGGGGTGGGCTGCAGGGAAGGGACACTTCACTCTGTTGAGTGTCATGCAGATAGGCCAGGCGCAGCCTTGAGCTTTCATGCAGGTTTTGCTTTGCCTGGGCCCCCCGCCCCCCTCACCCTGCCCTGCCTGCATCCTGACCCCCTTCTAGTCATCTTCAGGTTCACTGACTCCCCCACTCCTGCTGTTTGCTCATGAACCCCACCCCCTACTTAACTGGACTGCTGACTTAGGTCCTCTTCACCGAGTCGGCGTCTGCAGAGCCTCCCGCACAGCAGGGGCCCCGCCACACGGAGCAGTGGGTGCTCAGGCGGGCTGGGGACCGAGAGCCACGGTGTGTGTTTTTGTGGAGACCGCGCCGAAACCCCCGGCTTCCTGCCTTGCTGGCCTTACTCGCCGTGTGCAGTGACCACTGCGGGGTTGACTCACCTCTCAGAGGCGTGAAGGGTTTGGTTGAGTTGAGCCACAACCCTCCACGGCTTCCTGTCAAAACACTCGAGCGGTACTCAGGGCGGCCAGTGTTGACACGTCTTCACTCTTTGCCGAGGTAATCGGGCGTAAAGTTCAAGAGGCCCGAGTGGAAAAGGTCTTCTCTCTGAAAAATAGCAAATGAAGTGGAAGAGATAAGCTGCCGTTTGATCAGCCGCAGTCTGTCCGTTCTGCGTTCCTGCTTTCAGCGCGGCGATAGGCCAGAGTTCGGGACGCGGCTCTGGCCCCTGGTGTGTGCGCCTTCAGAACACCCCGGGAAGGCGATCGCACTCACGCCGTGGCTTTGGCTTGGAGAGTGTCATCGTGCCTTCCCAGGCTGTGAAAACTAGGGGTGGCGTATGCAACGGAACCCCTCCGTACGCCAGACTGTTTGACTCTCGGGGCTTCCTGGGCCTGCCAGAGGAGAGTGTTTGTTATGCTTTCAGGGTAAGGGAGTTGATCATCACTGGCCACGGTTCACTCTGCCACTGCTGTCCTGTTTCCCTTTGGCTAGAGGTGGCTTCTGCTGGGACTCGGGGGACTCCCACCACCACACACTGGCAAGCCCGGGGCTCGGCCCTGGTCCGGCTCGTCGTGTGCATCTGTCTGGAGGCTGGGAAAGGGGCCGACGCCATCCTGTCCTGGTTTCAGCGCCCCTCCCTGTAGCGCTGGCTCTTGCAGCGTCCCCCAGGGCAGCTGGGATAGAGCCTTGCCCCTTTGCTCCCTGTGTTTGGGAGGACTCACCAGCTTTCCTGTCGCCCTTCTGTGTACGTAGCTCGGCCAACGCTACCCCTGAATTTGAAGGTCGAGGAGGCGATGACCTCGGCACGGAGATCGCCAACACCCTCTACCGGATATTCCACAACAAGAGCAGCGTCGACCTGGAGGCGCTCTGCATCAGCCCGCGGGAGCACTGCTGGGTGCTCTACGTGGACGTGCTGGTACGTGCTGGTAGGCGCCGCGCCGCGTGGCTGCACCAGCTGGAGACCGGCGGTCTGCTTCTGCTTTCCTTCCCGGCGCTTTCTCCCTCCTCCAGGGGATGCTGTCCACTTCCCCTTGAAGGGTGAGATTAGGTGGGAGAGGATTAGTCTCCTCTAATAGTTTGTTTGTTTTTTTTAATTAAATGTAACACATAAATAGTAGCCTACACATAACGCCACCCGACAATGAAGTTACAAGCAGTCCTAGCACAGCAGCACCTGAGGTTGCCCACGGAGACTGTCAGGGGAGCAAAGGCAGGAAGGGGTGGTGCCACACAGAGGCGAAGGCAGATTCAGACAAGCGGGCACATTCTGTGTGGAGCAGTGGCGGGGCAGAGAGACACCGAGAGGCAGCGTGACCGGCCCGGGAGGCCTCAGCTTGAGAGTGGTGGCATTATTAGTCCTCAGAGCCAGGCCTTGGGCCAGGAAGCGCCGTTGCCCGCCCCTGACCTCACCAAGCCATCTTCCCCTGAAAATGCCCCATAGCCCACCTCCTCTGAGCCCCTGTCTAGGTGTGCAGCTCTGGCTGGTCATCAGGACCACCTAGAGGCCGGGGCAAAGCTCAGGTCCAGGGCCGCCTCCTGCATTTTCAGTGGGCTTCCCGGTGATTCCGACGCCCAGCCGGAGCTAGGAGCCAGCAGGTGCACGAGGACGAGGACACGCAGTGGGGAACCACACTCGGTCCTCAGTGTGAGCCTGGCGGAGCTGCAGCGTCGGTGGCCGCCATTTCTCACCTGTTTGGAAGCTGGATGCACCTTAGCAAAGACGAGAGTAACGCGTGTGGTGCTGTTGGGGCAAAAAAAAAAAAAAGGGTGATCAGCTCCTCCTTCTGTGGCGGTCCCCCCAGCTGGAGGAGACCCCCCCCACCCCTGTTAGAGGCCTGAGTGTCAGTGTTATAGCCACACCCAAGTGTGGCCTCGCACACGTGGCCCGCACACGTGGCTCGTGTGAGCGCTGCCGCGGTGAGGCAGAGCCTGCAGTGAGGGCCGGCGCTGTCCGATGGCCGGGGGGAGTGGCCACGCCCACTGGCCTTGGCTCTCCCCACACGTGGTCGGCGTTGCTGGGGAACCGTTGCTGGGGAACCGCCAGCCTTCGGTCGGGTCGCCACTGAAGTAAGACGTGACGCTCTTCCTTCCTGCTCACCCCGTCTCCTTAGCTGCTGGAGTGTGGCGGGAACCTGTTCGATGCCATCTCCATCGCCGTGAAGGCCGCCCTCTTCAACACGAGGTGAGTCTTCCTGGAAACAGCCCCGGGGGCCCGCCGTGACCCGGGGCCGACCTGGTGGTGGACCACGGGGGACTTCTCTGCCGGGGCTCGGGGTGAAGACAGCGAGCGGTGTAGTGTTGAAAGTGGTGGCATTTAACGTGAAGCTCCAGAAAATAGATTTCATCAATTGAAAACTAAATCTGCATGTATTTCTGTATTTATCTTTTATATTGTTGTTTTCATAAGTAAACATGTACCGTGTAGACAAATATTAGGAACTACAAAGAAGCAAAAAGAGTAGAGACCAACTTCAGGCCGACCGTGGGAACACTGCTCCTGGACAGGGCCCCTGGGGGCGGGGCTTTGTCTTCTCCACCACCAGGGCCTGACGCGTGGCAGGTGCCCCTGCCGTCCTTGGCGGGACATGAGGTTGCTCTAAGAGCAGGAGAGGCTTCTGCCTCTGCGGTTCAGCTGCCCTGACGGGCCGCGCAGCAAGGGACGGGGCCCTGACCTTTCTGGGAGCTGGCGTTTCCTCAGACGTCCCCCCCAGTCTGTGCACCGAGTCCTCTGAGGAAAGGCTGCAGCGTTTGACAATAAACACGTGGCCCTGGCTGGGTAGCCCAGGTGTCAGAGTGTCACCCTGACAGGTCAGGGTTGCGGGTTCAGTCCCTGGTCAGGGCACATGCAGGAAGCAACCAACGATGCATAACTAAGTGGAATAGCAAATCTGTGTCTCTCTCGCCCTCCCCCTTTAAAATCAATAAGTAAAACTTTAAAACAAGAAAGGAAGCATGGGGGAGGCGTTCATTCCACAAGAGAGCCTGTGTTCGGTAGCGGGGAGCCTGGGGTCCTGGGAAACGAGGGGCGGAGGCGCCCAGGGGTGCGGCTGAGGGAGGCAGTGGGTGGGTGAGCGGAGAGGCTGCCCGCGGAACGTTCGCGGCGGTGAGCGGTGGGGAACCACCTGGCGTCCCGACCCAGGGGGTTCACACGGGCACGGCGGCCTATTCAGAGTTTTGTCAGTACGGAAAAGCAGCCACTAAATACAGGCCTCTCGTCCTGTTTTGTGTTTGTTTTGTCGCATTTTACTTTCGCTAATTCTTATATTTGATGTCTGCAAATATGGACATACATATCCCAAAATGGTTACTCACAAGCTTGCAGTGTTCATGCTGTGGATGACTTCACATTGATCTGTGTTTTGGAGTTTTCCTCTGGTGAACTTAGACTGGCTGCGTAATTTAAAACAAAACAAACAAGAACAAAGCCCAGTAAATTGGGGTCTGAAGTTGTGGGATGGGCCACTTGCCGGGAATGACAGCTGCAGATCCTCACCTGGAGCAGGGCCACTGGACTCTTGGCCGAGACCGCCGAGGGTCTGGCGCTGGCGGCCACCGCGGGGCTCGAGCGCCAGGTGCCGCGGCAGCCGCCCGGGCCCGGCTCTCCTGGAGAAGAGGGGACGTTGCCATCTGTTGCATCTCGGGCCGCAGAAATCACGCCTGTCTGCCAGCTGGTCTCCGCGGGCACTGGGGCAGACGGAGCAGAGCCAGCTGAGGCTGTCGGGCCGGGGGGTGGGGGTCAGGCAGACGGCCCAGCAGGGTGATGGATGCCAGCTGCTCGGGTTGGGGGGCACGTCTGCCACGGGCACAGCCCTGCCGCCGGCAGCAGGGAGTGGGGACGCTGCAGGGCACTGGACCTCCAGCTTGTGGAGAGACCTTTTGTGCAGTCGGGTCCGTCAGGGGGTAGAGACCAGTCTCCAGATGGCATTCTCCAGGCCTGCCGAACCGCGCTGCGGCCAAAGGGTTGGGAAGGGGTGTGTGTGTGTGTGTGTGCACGTCTACCTGCTTGTGCATATTTTTTAACATACAAAAGTCCAGACGGCTTACCTGATCTGTTCAGACAGGACCTTGCTTAGCACTTGCACCCTGGGGGCCTGGCGTGGAGACGGCAGCCCGGGCGGGCCCTGGCAGGGCTCCTTGGTCCTTGTGAACAGTCTCTGGCTGCAGTGCTCCCCCGGTGGGGACTTGTGTGGGGCCGGACGACAGGGCTGGGTCATACGGGGCGGGGGGGGGAGTGAGGCAGAATTTATTTATAAAAAGTTGTGTATTCTTACATGTTTAAACTCCAGTCACCGTCAAAGAACTCTCCATTTGATGCAGCACACCTATCAAGATGTTTTTCCTGCTGCTCAAAACAGTGTTTGAAGTTGTCGATTTTGATGCCTTTTAATGCTTCTGTTTTGTCTCACCTCTTCCACGGGCAAAATGTTTCCCTTTGAGGACTGTTTTCATTCAGGAAACAAAAAAAAAAACACTTGGTGAAAGATTGGGTGAACAGGAAGGGCGGGGCACAGGGGTCATGCCATTTTTGGTCAAAAACTGTTGAGCACTCAGTGCGGTGTGGGCAGGTGCGCTCATCAATCACCCATTGTGAAATGGGCAAACTCATTACAAGGGTCTTTAAAAAATTTTTCAGTGAAGCCAAACGCAGCCTCTCACAACAGCGCCAGCTGGTGCACTGATCCAGGTGGGTTCCTAGAACACTCACCTAGTGGGGGAAGCCTGTGCTACAAGGGGCCCGCTCTCCAGAAGGTTATTCTGGGTGTTTTGGGGTCGCCCCTGAGTAGAGGGCTTTGGTCAGAGGAACGGGGGAAACCTCTAACGCTGTTTCCATCGCAGACACCCATTCCCAGCTCCTCCACCCTAGACTGGAACACACTGACTTCGTGGGTTAAATGTGGTTTTCATCAGCCAGTTCAAGAAACAGCATTGCCGGCCCCCAGAGCCCCTCTCGCCCTGTGCCCCCGGCAGTCACCACACTCACGGGCGGCAGCCACCGTCCTCGAGCAGCAGATTGGCTTTGTACGCGATGCACGTGTCTTCTCTCGTGTGCCTGCCTTGTTCCCCGTGTGGGAGGTTCTGAGGCGCCTGTGCTGTGCCCTGGAGCCACAGCTAGCTGTTTGCTGCACGCCGCTCCGTGCATGAACGTGCCACGGCTTGCCCAGTCTGCGGTGGACGGGTGGGCGGTGGACGGGTGTCTGGGCAGTTGCCGGCAGGGGCCGTTGCAGGCAGTGCCGGACACGAGCATCCTGTGTGTGTCTTCTGTGTGCGTGTGTGCGTATCTGTGCATTTCTGCTGGATAAGGTGACGGTTCTGGGTTGGAGGGCGTGGCTGTGTTCTCTTCCGGTAGATCCTGCAAGGCGGTTTTCCCAAGTGCCTTTGTTGTAGAATGATCCTCCCACCAGCAGTGCATGAGGGGATGCGGGTCGCTCCACGTCTTTACTGGCCGTTGGGTCTTTTTGTCTTTTCAATGTTAGCCACTCTGGTGAGTGCGTCTCGGAATCACACTGCAGGTTTGAGTTGCATTTCCCTGGTGAGCATTTACGTGGAGCACCTCTGTGTGTTTACTGGCCGCATGAGGAGCCGCTTCTCTGAAGGCTCCGATCCTTTGTCTGTTTTTCCGTTGGGTCGTCTGTCTTTTATGTTCAGTCGGAAGTCTTTATGTAGTATGTCAGTGTATACACACACACGCAAATATTTGTTTCGCTCTGGATTATCTTTTAGTTTCTACGTGATGCCTTTCGATGAACAGAGCTCATAATGTTAACCCGTACCATAATGTATATAATACGTGCTATGTCGGTATTATGTGTGTGTGTATATTTCAACTGTGGTATACTTGAATCTATCATGTTTTCCCCTTCGTGGTAAGCACTTTGTGTCCCGTTTGTGAAATCTTTGTCTCCTCCCAGGCCATGAAGGCGTTCTTAGTCTGTCTTCTGAAAGCTTTGCGGTTTTATCTTCCGCCTGTGTGTCCGCACTGTGTTTGGCGCGAGGCAGGGATGGAGATTCATTGTGGGTGTTGGATTGACTGGATGTTGGATTGACCGAAATTATTCTTATTTACTTACTTGTTTATTTACTGTTTATTGTTAGTGTTATTTATCCTCATCTGAGGACAGTTTTTCATTGCTTTTAGAGAGAGGAAGGGGAAGAGAGAAACATCTGTGCGAAGAAGAAACATCAATTCGTTGCCTTCCATACGCACCCAGACCGGGGATTGGTGCCCAGACCAGGGTTCATACGCGTCCGGACCGGGGGTCACCCACACCCAGACCAGGGATCGAACCCACAACCTGGGCATGTGCTGGGACTGGGAATTGAACCCTCGACCGTTTGGTTACCCGACAGTGCTCCAGACAACTGAGCCACACTGGCCAGGGCCCAGGCATCATTTCCGATAAGCCCTCCGTTCTCACTGCGCTGTGTTGTCGCCTGTGAGCTTTGGACAGCAAGGACGGGGAGGACAGGCGCGGCGCGGCACTGCCTCGAGAGGCACAGGAATCCTAACTCCTGTCCTCAATCTCAAAACAAACAAACAAACAAAAAACAACAATGCCGTGGCTGGCGTAGCTCAGTGGATTGAGTGTGGGCTGCGAACCAGGCATCGCAGGTTCGATTCCCAGTCAGGGCACATGCCTGGGTTGCAGGCCACGGCCCCCAGCAACCACACATTGATGTTTCTCTCTCTCTTTCTCTCTCCCTTCCCTCTCTAAAAATAAATAAATAAAGTCTTAAAAAAAAATAACAGAAACGATCTTTCAATAAGATGGAATTTTAATCGTGCTCTTGCTTCCAGGATCCCAAGAGTCCGTGTTCTGGAGGACGAAGAGGGGTCAAAGGACATTGAACTCTCTGACGACCCTTACGACAGCATCCGGCTGAGCGTGGAGCACGTGCCCTGCATCGTCACCCTGTGCAAGGTGCCAGCCTGCCTCTGACGGCCGCTGTCTCCCCTGGGTTGCCTCCTCCCCCCCGAGGCCAGTGTGGTTCCCCCCCGGGGGGCGGGGCCGACATCTGGCTGATGCTGCTGTGCGACCGGTGCCACCCGAGGCCGAGCAAACCGGTCTGTACCGGCCGAGGTGCTCCCCAGTGATTCCACGCAGGATTCACTGTTTAAAAGTGAGACTGAGGGTGTCGCGTCTCGTTCCTCCGCACTCCCTCCGTAAACCTGGGTGTGTGGAAGGGCTCAGACCGGCCAAGGCCACCTGCCCCCGACTCACTCCTGAGCGTGTTTCCCGGCAGCTGCTCTCGGTCGGTCTCACCTTTCTCAGCCGAGACACACCCACGTGGCCCCACGTGCGAGTTTCCCCGGGCCCCTCTGCTGGGAGCCCTGGGGGCCCTCTGACATGGGCGGTCTGCGAATGGCAGTTCTGGCCCCCCCCCCCCCTCATGTCCGTGGCCTGCTTCTGTCACGGCTCGCATGGTGGCCTGCGCTGCCGTGGTTGAGCATTATGTCAGGTATTTCCCATGCGAGCAGCATCTAGAACCTCAGTCCTGAGCGGGCAACGCAGCTGCTTTGTGGGCACAGGTGTTCTTCCAGGAGGCCGTTGGGGGCGGGCATCTGGGGGGGTGGCACCCACACCCACACTCTGCTGCCCTGGCTGCAGATCGGCTGCCGGCACGTGGTGGACGCCACGCTTCAGGAGGAGGCCTGCTCCTTGGCCAGCTTGCTGGTGGCCGTGACCAGCAAGGGGGTCGTGACGTGCGTGAGGAAAGTGGGGAAGGGCAGCCTGGACCCAGAGAGCGTCTTCGAGATGATGGAGGTGAGGCTCCGGGGCAGGGGCGGGGCCGGGGCAGGGCTGGGGAGTGCCCGCCGCCTCCTGCCCCCTTGGTCCGTAGCACCCTCGGGATTCTCCCCGTGCGCACCTTGACCTGGAGCTGGAGGACAGCTGGCGTGGCTGGCGTGAGCTGGAGGGCTGCCGCCCGACCAGGGCCAGCTGCTCATCCTGCTCTCTCCGCTCCCGAGTTTCCACATCTCCAAATGCCAGCGTGAACCGCCCGCATGCAGAGTCACTTGTGACTCCCTAATCCTAAGCCTTCATCATTGGACGAGGGGATGGAAGTCGGCAGGGCCGGGGCCGGGGGCTGAGGGGTAGCTGCCCCTCTGCAGCGCAGCAGTGTTTGGGTGGAGGTGAGGGGAGCGGCCTCAGGGGTGCATGTCCCTGCGGGTCTCCCCAGCTGCTCTGGGCTCACTGGGGACACAGCTGCCTTCCTCGGGGGCCCAGCGACCCCTGTGTGGCAGGGACCGGGTCCTGCTCCCTAAAAGGTCTTTCTAGACCTTCCTCCCCCAACCCCCTTCCCCACCCACCCCAACTCTGCAGAAGTCGTTGAGGCTTTGACACTGACTGACCGCCCGGCTGGCTGAACTGCCAGTAGCACAGTTAGCTGGACTCAGGTGGGGTTTTTTGTTTTTGTTTTTATAGAGAAGGAGGGGAAGGGAGGGAGGAGAGGGAGAGAAACATTGATGTGTGGTGGCTTCTCACACACCCCCAGCAGGGCACCTGGCCCACAACGCAGGCATGTGCCCTGACCGGGAATCGAACCCGCGACCCTGTGGTTCACAGGCTGGCTCTCAACCCGCCGAGCCACACCAGCCAGGGCCAGGCGGTTTTTGTTTCAGACGAGCGCTGTAAGGCCTCACGACACAGGTCCGTGGGCCGTCGCTCCCCAGCAGGCGCGGTGCCGGCTGCGCTCTCCCTCCATCCCTAGAAAACAGTGACTTTCCACCCAAGACTCTGGGCCCTTGATGTCTGCCTGCTCTTTGTATCATCGTGTTTGAAAGCAAAAGTGGGTGGTGGTTATGGGGCCGAGGACGCCAAGGACCCTCGCCCAGGTGCTGGCTCTGGTCTCACCTGAGCGGTTCTGCTGAGAGACCTGCTGGCAGGCGAACCAGAAACTGCCCGTCGGGGGGAGCCCTCAGCACGCTCCACTATGCGTCAGACAGACCCGCACACTCTGCAGGCTCCCCACGCCTTCCCGCTGCTGTTCTCGGCCGCCGCCACGTCCAGACTTGGGTGACAGTGTCGCCGCTGTCTTCATGGCAGCGGGAACGCTAACCCTGAGCTGAAGGCCGGGGCGGCCTTGGCTGCTTGGTGCCTGGGGCTGGGGGTGGTTGTCCTTTCTTTCCTCGTGTGGGACGAAGGTGTTTCCAGAACGGGGGTGTTAAGCGGCCGAGGTGTGGACTAACGTGTCTGTGTTGGTCTGTGTAACTAACTGCACAAAGGCCCCGGGAGGCGCGTGGGAGGGCGCGGGGTTGGCCGGCAGACAGGGAAGCCCGCCCTGGCCAGGGCGTGGGCCTCACGGCGCCGCCCTGCGCCCCTCTGCCCTGCAGACCAGCAAGCGGGTGGGCAAGGTGCTGCACGCCTCCCTGCAGAGCGTCCTGCACAAGGAAGAGAGCCTGGGGCCCAGGAGGCCGAAGGTCGGGTTCCTGGGCTGACGCGCACGCCGACCCCCGTCGCCGGAGTGCCGCGCTGACTTCTCCGCGTGAGCCGGAGTGTGTACGTGTTTTCCTTCACTGTTACGAATTTAAAGCAATGTTTGTACGTGTGAAATTAAACTCTATTTTCCGGTCTGGTTTGGAACGGCTGGGATTCTTGAGCGGTAAGCCGGGACGCCGGGGTGGCAGCCCCGGGGGGTCTGGCCCTTGTCTCCGCGGGTACGGAGGCCGGCTCCCTGGCGAAGGGCTCTGGTCGCGGGCCTGCCCAAGGAGGCGCACTTCTCCTGCTGCAGGAGTTGAGAACAACAGCAGACACACCAGAATAAGGACCCTGGAGCAAACCGGTTCAAAGGAAACGCTAATGATAGGTATTTTGCGGTGGTTCCTTCCCCTGGAGAGCTTTCAGCATGAAATCACACACACACAGCAGAACTTCACCTGCCTCGTGCCTTTGGGTGCGTCCGGGGGAGGAGGCCAGAGGAGGCGCTCTGCCCTGCCGTGGGGGACCAGCCTCGGCCCCACCTGGCGGCTGAGCCTTCCTGAGGAAGCCCAGCTCTCGCTTCCCGTCCTGTGAGACATCCAGGCCAAGCGCCCCAGGGGGAGGGGCTGAGCGGCCACTTTGGTCCTTAGCCAGCTGTTGTCGCTCTTGTTTTGAATTGCTTTGTGTTTTATAACCACTCCCTGGTGTTTTGTAAGATTTTGTTTTGTCAGCATTAACACGGCTGCTTTAGAGATGCTGTCATTTGATGACTCAGCCTGCCTTCACTCTGGGGACGGGCGGGGCGGGAGGGGGGGCATTCTCGATGGCCCCAGAGGCCCTTCCTGTGCGCAGGGTGTCGGAGGGGAGTCTGGTCAGGGATTGAGCGGTTTCCTCCGGGGGGATCCAGTGCTCCCCAGCCGGTCTTAAAGCACCAGGAGAAGGGAGACGGAGCGGCTTCATGAAGGAGAGTGTCTCAGCCTTGGCGTTTGCTCGAGGCATTTTACTTAGACAGTGAGGGTGGGGGGTTACAACTTGATTGCCTTGTGGAAAGAGCATAACTGAGCCGAAGCCCCCGCAGTCTTGCCCCAGGGGTCCTGGCATGGCCCTCCTCCCAGAGCGCACATGGCCCCCCTCCCGGCGGGGACAGCTCCGGCCCCGCAGAGAGAAGCAACTGCCTGGACTTGGACTTGCAGCTGCCGTCCTGTTGGGAACACAGCCTGGGTTTTCATTATTTCTAAATGTTCTTCCAGTGGGTGTCCCTCCAGGTGCCACGGCAGGGCTCCCGGCGAGACACCAGCCTGTCCCTCCCTGCCTGCCCCTGGCTGCCTGCGCGTGATGGAACATGACAGTGGTCAAGAGAAACTCGAGTCAGAATAAAGTTTAGAAGCTTTTGGTCTTGGTGATTATTAAAGACACTGTCCTTGTGTTATTATTTATTAATTGTTGTGTGTATTCTTTATTCGCACTGCCACCATGAACCCCCTTCGCCCACCCCTGTGGGTGAGCGTGTCTCTCTCCCACCCGGGCCTTTCCTTGAAAGCCGCCCCTTCCCGTGAGAAGGGCACACGGCAGATGAGACTCAGCCCAGCGGACGAGGTCTCGCCAGGAGAGGGACACGCAGGCATTTGTCAGAAACTTCTGATTATCGCAGCCCTCGGGGAGAACGCACGGGGAGAGAAAACCGAAGGTGAGGGCTCGGAAAGATGGAGCGGCCACGAAATGAACCCCAGGGAGAAGAACCGTGAGGTCGGCCGAAGGGCGAGAGCTTGGGGGCGGGAGGGGGCGCGCAGGCGGGGAAAGAATGCAGCGTTAGGGAATGTGAAAATGCGTGTATTGTGTTTGCAACTCCCTGGTCTCCCAAGTCAAGTACATTCAAGCCTATAAAACACGTGAATTTAGACAATTAGCAGCAGTTTGCACATTGCTCACTAAGCAGGGGTCCCACACAAACCGCCGACAGAGCGTACATCTCCGCTGTTCCAAACTTTCCGGAAATCATCTGGCAGTGTGTGTGAAAGGCCTTGAAAATGTTCATTCCCTTTGACCTAATCTTTCCACTTCTGGGAATGTAACCAAAGGAAATAATTGAAGACACCAGGGGAACGGAAACACAAAATATGAAGAAGTTCATCCCAGTATGACTTCGGCCCCGCAGAGACTGGCCGTTGGTGAAGCGCCAGCCCTCGGGGAGGAGAGGGTTCGGTAAAGCTGCGGGCAGTGGACGCCTCCTGTGGGCTGCCTCCATGCTCAGCCTGGGGCCGGCCGCTGCGGCAGGACCGTGCAGGCAGGGGCGGGTCACTTCCTGTGGGCAGGGTGCTGCCTCCAGTGCTTCCCACAGACCTGGGGGTCCAGGTGTGTGCAGCCCACAAATGCCCGAAACTTACCGCCTCCAAGTCAACTCACGACCACGGGGGGCGGGGGGAGCCCCCATGGGGAATGCTTCTCTGTTGGACCGTCGGGCGGACAGCTCTGAGAGGAATCCAGTGTGCTCATCCAAACCAGTGCTCATGACGGTGACCCACTATTCCACACCCCCATTCTCTCTTTCCCACCCCTGCCCCCGTCCCCGCGGGATCACCTCCCAGATAAATCACAGGCATGAGCCCTCATCTCAGGCTTTGCTTCTGGGGAGAAGCCCAGACTAAAGGTGGTGCTAGAAGCGGCCTTAGAGAGCAGATACCCTAAATGGGGATCGGGGACTGGCTCAGTGATTGGCAGGTGGCAGCCGAGGCCTGGGGGTGGCCGTGAGTGGTTTGGCAATGAGCCAGGACACCGGATGGCGGCGTCATCACTGAGACTTGACTGCGGTGGGCTGAGGTCGGGTGGAGGCCCCGTCACGCCCACTAGGCCGTCCGTGGGCCTTACAGAATGGTCGAGTTGGCCGACTTGGGAACTACTATGAAAAGCCTTAAAAAAAAAAAAAAGCTGGCAGCCCACCGTCCACTTGTGGTGCGCTCCGACCAGAGGCCCCGTGGCCTCGAGTCCGGAGCCTGAGGTGCAGCCTCGGGGCAGGACAAGCTGGTGCCCAGACCCCTGGTCTGCAGGGAGCCAGGGCGAGTTGCTGCAGGCTCCCTTCGCCAGAGTCAGGGCCCCGTCGGGAAAGAGAGGGACTCGGGCCTGGGGTGCAGGCAGGGTCTCAGTCCCGTCTTCCTCTGAAGGCCTCGGGTGGGGCAGGCCGAGGAAGCCCCCACCCCCGGCGGAAGGAGAGCAGCCACCCCGAGGAGCACTGTGCCACCCGCCAGGCGAAGGCCAGTCCCGAGCCAGGCACCTCGGGAGACGGCCGTTCACCCGGCCCACCTTCCCCCACCGCCTCCAGAGCAGTGACCAGGGTCCCACTGCGCCCTGAGCCTGAGCAGGGGACACGGCTCCTGCTGTGGGGAGCACTAGACCGCTCATCAAGACTATTGCAAGACCTGGCTTGGCGTGTGCTGGGGAGCAGGGGGGGCAGGGGGCCCCGAGGGTGTCAGACCAGCTCCCTGGCTGGAAAAGGGTGAGCATCCTGGCAGAGGGGCTGACATGGTTCCTGCTTCCCTGCTGCGTCTGCCCCCCAGCCCCCAAGTCTGCACCAGGCAGACACCCAGAGTTGAGGAGGAGGGGCCGCCGGGGCTGAACAGATGGAAAAGGCAACAGCTCTGCTGAGATCTGTGAGAGAAAAGGGGCCACAGGGTGACCGTCTGTCCCCCAAAGTGGAGGGGGGGGCACGTTCAGAGACCACCCCCCCCACCGCCGGGCAGAAGTGCACCAAAACCCCCTCGGGAACCAGGCTGGGGGAGGGGCACCTGAGCTGCAGCTGGTGAGGGGCGGGAAGGGCCAGAGGGCCTGGAGGCTCAGGGTGCCCGCTGACGTCAGAGGGCTCCACACTCTTCACCTGCGGGAGTTGGACCTGGCCCTCACTGCGAGGCTGTCTCAGAGAAAATAGCCCTCGTGCAGGAGCGGGGACAGGGGGACCATCTGCAAGTACCCAGGCTGCTCTGTTCTTTTGAACGAGACCTGCCCTTGGGAGAGACTTGAAGCAGAGCCTCACCTGCTCCAGCCCTCCCCCGACCATCCCGCCCCACCCAAGGGTGGGGGGTGGCAACTGGACCGAGAAGCCCCGTGAGGTTCGCAGACCAGAGGCACAGGCTCCCTGACTGAGAGCTCGCCACCAGACCGCAGAGCGGGAGCAGAGGCAGCGCTTGTTGAATCACGGTTTGCAGGGGAGACGACTTTCCTAATGAGGTCCCATTGTCCCTGGTTCTGACTAACAAAGGCCGAGGCTGCCCTTGACACACCCTTGGAGATGCGCGCCCTGGATGCTGCTACCTTTGAGGAGAGCAGCTGACCGTCCTGCCTCCGCAGGCGGCCCCGTTGTTTCTGCTGACGCGGCGCCAGTGGGGCGGATGGGAACATCTGCTCGGGGGTGAGTGGGGGTGGGGGAGGACACCGGGCCAGGAGTTTCTGTGCCTCGGGGGCTGACTTGGGTGGAGTGGCCCTGGATTGGTTTATATAACTCGGACTCCCAACAGTCTGGAGGGAAAAGCACCGTAACAACAACAACAACAAACTTGAAAACTGACATGTGCCTTTTATTTTTATTTTTATTTTTTTATTATTATTATTTTTTTAACATGTGCCTTTTAGAGCGATCTCCTGATCTTCCTGCCTCTGGGACACCGGTGTAAAAAGGCGGGGTGTCCTGGGTGGGGTGTCCGAGCAGGGCCGTGTCCTTGAGGGTGGGTTACACGTGAACACTGGCCCGGGCTCACTCTCCTGGCTGGAGCTACCACGCCTGCTGCCCTGCCGGCGGGCAGAGGCTCCGGGATGGTGCCCGCACGGTGGGCCTTTCACGCTGGGAGGCTGGACTCCGCAGACTGCGCCAGGGCTGCCGCTGGGCCCACTGCAGGGGCCTCGGTGTGCTTCTCATGCTGGCCAGGGAGGGCTGCAGGTGGACACGGGGACCTGGGCATTTAATGGCCCTCAGCTCACCTCTGGCGTCAAGGAGGCGTGGGGACTACAAAGAGCCCGTGCACCTGTGCCTTCCTGACTGGAGTGTCCCGTATGACCCCAGCAGGCCCCTGGGGTCACGCTCTGCTCTGGGAGCTGCGCCACCACAGGGGCAGCGACGAGCAAAACCCTGTCCAAAGGCGGTTTTCCAGAAAAGTCCAGGAACCCCAGGGTAGAGGAAGAGCTGGGAGAAAAGGGACAGGACCATGGAGAAGAGACAGAAAAGGTGGCCCCTTCCAAATGGGGGGGTGGTGGGGGCTCTCCCCTGACTGCCCCTGAGGCTGTGCCAGGGACCCTGGGCGAGGTTTCACCTTCTAACAAGCCGAGCGCCTCAGGGTGGAACCAGTGGCTTTGCAGAGTCGTGAGCTGCTCCTCCCGGGGAGGATTTAGGCCCACAGAGACCTCTGACCTCTGACAGGGTCGGTGGGAGGCGACGTCCCGTGTGGAGGGTGGTCACCCAGGCAGCCTCTGACAACCTGCCTCCGACTCGGAGGCCCAGAGGCAGCGGGTCGGTGCAGCAGCTGGAGCCGGACGGGTCGGACCAGGTCACCAAAAACGGCCATCTGTTTGAAGTGCTCACCTTGAACAAGATAGCACTTCGTAACACACACACACACACACGGGGTGCAGGTGCCCTCGTAAACACCGCTCTGAGGTGCCGCGGGCTCTGGCGAGGGGCACCAGCCCGCAGCGCGTGACGCCCCGTCTCCTCCGGGGGCGGCCGGGCATCTCCCGGCTGTGCGGATCCTCCCTGGGGGCGGGGCCATGTCAAAGTTTGAGGCGGCTGAAGCCGAAAGGCACCTCCCCTGCCCCCCGCTGCGATTTCACACGTCATGTCACACCACAGGCGACTCCCAGGTGCTCGCGGAGGTGCTCTGTGTCGTGAACACGCACGTGTGTGCGCGCACATGCCTGTGAAGCCTGCAGGTTGGGAAGAACCAAGGACGCGGCCCCCGGCCGACGGAAGGCTCTCCACGCAGGGCTCCTCCCCGAAGTGCCGAGAGTTCACCTGCCGCTGAGTGAGAGGGAGGGGAGGTGTGCTCCCACCTCGCCTGGGGGGCCGACACCGGGCAGAGGCCTGATGTCCCTGCAGCCTCCATGCCACCACCACCCGCGCCGTGGAGCTCAGTGGCGTGGCCCCCCCTGCCCACCGCGGGCTGCATCCTCCATCTGTTCATCCTCCATCTGTGAAGGGAGGCCACTGCTCGCCGGACTTGCCCTCGGCTCGCTCATATCTGTGTACTCGTACTTCCCTGTTTTACTGTTGCTATGGTATTTTTGGTGCCCAAATCGTCCCTGATTTTGGCCCCTGGGCCCAAGTCCAAGCTGGCTCTGTGTCGTGCAGCCACGTCCCCTCCCTCTTGGAGCTCTCTGGCAACACAGCGTGTCCCAGGCTCACTCTCCGCTTTCCCCGTCCAGCCCTGGAGCCAGCCACCTCTCCGCAGTGCTCCAGCTCCTCTCAGGGGACAGATGTACTTAGCAACCAGCACGTGGCTGCCAGGAGCGCTCGGGGCCGTGGAGGGGGTGCCGGTCCAAGGCCCTCCCTGTGACCGCAGGGCACAAAGGTGCACGGTTTCCATCCAAACTCACAGGCTCCTTTTCTGGGTTGAGGTACACAATGGCGCATGGACAGCTCCGCCCCCATGTTGGGATTCCTCCCCGTGCCCTCCCTGTCCGAGCCTGCCCCGCCCTTCCCCGACCTGAGACACCTGCAGTCCTCTGCCTTCAGCAGCTTTACGTATCCGATGGGGCCCTGTGTGCACCGGCCGCTCCCCTCCGGTCTCCTGACTAAGGTGACGTCCTCCAGGGTTCTCCACTGTGGGGCTCCTCATTCTCCAAGTCGTGAATAAGCATTTTGTAGGCATGTAATTTGAAATGGACTGTCCCGTTCCCTCCTCCTCCTGGGCTCCCCAAGAATGCCCCCTCCCCCTCCGCCCTGCTGGGCCCTGACACCCACACCAGCCCCCCTCAACCCCCCGTGACTCCTCCCGGTCCCAGTGCGTCCACCTCCCCCTGAGGACGGCCTGGCAGAGCAGCAGGTAAGGGAAAGGGAGGACTCGCTTGTATTTGTCACTAAAGACGCATCACATGCGCAGGGGCAGAAACACGAAATCGTCATGACAAACATCCCGACCCGTCAGGCGGCCGGCCCCGACGTCGTGGACTGTCCTGGAGCCGCGGAGCCCCTGGCTGACGTCTGGGTGGCGTGGGCAAGTGCTGTGGCCTCGCTGGGGCTCCGTTTCCTGCACAGTGACGTGGGGAAACGGCAGGGCTTCCCCCGTGTCGCTGGTGGGAGGCCGCTCTGAGCTCCCGCCCGGCACGGAGCTGCCCACGACGTGCGCTCCGAGGACCGTCCTGTGTCTGTCAGACGCCTGGAAAACAGAGACTGTGTCGGAAGGCAGGGCCAGGATGCTGGTGGGCGTTTCCCGGGAGGCGAGGCTCTGGGGCTCCCTGGCCCCCCCCCACTCCTTTGCAGGCTTTCTGTTTTGTTTTGTTTGGGCACGCCCGCGGCTAAGGCTGGGAGGGGCTCCTGGACGGAGGTCCTCGTGGCAGCTGCTGCAGACGCGCAGCCCTGTCCCCGGCCGCCGCTGCTCTGCTCTGCTCTCCTCTCTGACCCGGGCGCCGCGCAGGCCGCAGCATGGAGCTCTGGGGGGCCTACCTGCTCCTCTGCCTCTTCTCCCTCCTGCCCCAGGCTGCCACCGAGACCCCGTCCCCCAAGGTCAAGAAGTCTGTCAATGTCAAGAAAGGTAAGGAGGGGGGACGGGCCCCTCTCTGTCTTCCAGGGAGCTGGTCACCCTCTCCTTCGCTGGTCCTCGGGCTCATTTTCCTTCTGGACGAGTCCGGAGAACTAGTGAGGTGCTCCCTGGGGCCTGGGGGGCGGGGTCCCCGATAGCAGGGGTGGCTGGCACAACTGTTGGGGTCCCTGACTCTCGTAGTCAGAGAACCTTCCAGATCCTTACAACTACATCTCCTCTTTCTCTCCCCACTCAGTATTTTAAAGAAACCAAACCTCTTGCAGGGCAGCGTGGAGGTGCCCAGCCCTCAAGGGACAGAGCCCCTGGGCTCTGCTCTGAAACCCCTGAACCTCAGGGTTCTCACCTGGGACGTGGGGGTCGTAGCGCTCGCTCCAAGGGCTGCTGCGAAGGCTTAATGACACAAACCAGGCAGATGTGCTCGATGCCGGGGGCCGGTGGGGGGGAGGACTGAGTTGATTCTTGCCCGGCTCTGTTGCACGCAGTGCCCGAGGGAAGTCCAGTTGTTCAAACTCGAACTGGGAGCCTCCAAGCAGCTTTGTTCTGCCCCCATCGCCGCTGGGGCTCGGGGTGTCCTTGGGTCGCCTTGGCTGCGGCAAGGCCTGCCCTTGGAGCCTGGCCTGCAGTGAAGTCACCCCGAGCTGTGTTGAGACAACAGCGGCGAAACGCCATGGCAATGAACCGGGCCGTCACCCCCACTGGGCTCCGGGGCTAGGAGAGTTCCAGGCGGAGGAGACATAGCGGCCAAGTCCGCAGCACAGAAAACCCAGAGCGAGGAGAGGGGGCGCGGGCCACCCTCGGGCCCCTCTCTGAGCCTCCCCCGTCAGTGGACAGTTGCCATTGGCCGTGAACTAGTGAAGTACGGAAGGTGGCCCGGGACCAGGGAGACCCCCGGCGTGGCGACGAGGGACGGGGCAGAGCTGGTGGGAAATAACCTCCAAGGTTCGGTTTCCAAAGTGAACACAAAGAGAAGTTCAAACCAGAGTGGATATTATGCTGACATTTGTTTTGAAGGGAGGATTTGTGTGAAGATACATACTTGTATACGTATGTTATTTTTCTGGAAGGATTGACAAGAGTTAGTAGCAGTGGTCAGCTCTGGGGAGAAGAGCGGGGTCAGCCAGAGGGGAGGCGTGCTGGGAGGGCTCAGGCAGCTGGGACTGCAGGGGCCACGTGGCCACACCTGGCCAAGGAGTCAGGTGGGCAGGGGGGCCTCAAAGGGCGACACAGGCCCCGAGGGCGGCTCTGGGGGGCCTGGACGACATCCATTTCCATCACACACATCGGCCACTGGAGCCTCTGAGACGGACAGGGGGTGGGGCCAGGGCCTCCTGGTCCTGCCCAGAGCCGCGGAGACGCCCCCTCCGCCCTCACCTTCCCCGGGTGGGGCACCGTCAGCACCTCGCTCCTTGGCCAGTCCCCGGAGGGCCCCTTGCGCACACGGGCACCCTCGTGCACATCACAGAGGTGCCCCACTGAAGGGACAGCTCACGGAAAGGCACCCCTGTCTTCTGCGGTCTGACCCGGCACAGCCGAGGGCAAGGCGTGGGCCTGGACAAGCGCCCCCACTCGTCCCCTCAGCCGGGTGCCCTGGTGCAGTGCCCAGCTCCCGCCACCTGACGTGGCCCCTGCGCGGGCATGTCACCTGACTGGGGACGGAGCGGGTGCGGACTGGCTGGGACAGCGGCCCAGCCCACACAGAACCCCGCCGGGCTGCCTTCCCAGCCCCAAACCCCCTTTCTCAGCCTTGCTCACCTGGGCGTCATTTTCCTCATATTCAGTAAGTTGCATCACTGATTTCTGTAAACGCAAGTATGCTTTCGCTCGCATTTGTTCCCTACGATTCCCCCGCGAAGCCATCTTATGGGTGGACAGAGGCTCCGACTTCACCCCCACGCCTGTGGATGGACATCGTGCGGCCGCAGGCAGAAGGACCGTGGAAGCCCTCCCCCCCTCCTCCCCCCGCTAGGCACAGCCTTTCCTGAGGTCCCTGGGATTTCAGAAAGACAGCTCTCAAATGACACACACGTGTAGAAAGACCCCACACGTGGCCGGCCCCAGCCTGAGGCCAGCAGGGCCCGGCTAGGAATCCGTGCGCTGTGGGAGGCGGGGGAGATCGGGCTGGGAGCCCAGGGCTGGGACCCGGGGCTCGGACCCACCCTGCCAGCTGCTGGCTCTGCGATCTCAGGCGAATTGCTTCGGTCCGGCCTCGGTTCCTGTCTGTGACTCTGCGGAGCGGCGGTGCAGAGACACTGCCCCGGTCACAGGGCTGGGGACAAGCCCAGCGCTGTCCACACGCTTTGTTCCTCTCAGTCTCTGGTCCTCTGCAGAGTCCTCTGGGGTGGGGCTACCACCCCTTCCCCTTCCACAGATGAGACGAGGGAACTGAACTCAGGGAGGCCGAGCATCTTGCTCCAGGTCACGCACCTCCACACACCTTCACAGCCCATGTGCACACTCACAGCCCATGTGCACACTCACAGCCCGTGTGCACACAGCCCGTGTGCACGCTCACAGCCCATGTGCACGCTCACCTGTGCCACCGCACTGGGTCCCAACCCAGAGCCCCCGCTTTGCCAATCTGCGTCTTGCTCCTCCAGCCTGGGGAGGTGGACCGGGGAGGTCTCCAGGGCCCCCAGCCCTGCTTCCTGCGCTCCGTCCTCTTCGGGAGCTGGGGGTGGGGTGGGGTGGGATGGTGGGGGCTCACTGGAGACCCTGCCTGCACCCCCAGCCCAGCCCCTGCCAGTCCCAACACCGTGGGGTCCCCAGCAGCGTCCCTGGGCAAAGGCAGTACAGGTCTCACTGTAGCTGGGGCACGGGACGGGTCTCCCCAGCAGAAGGAAAATCCTGAGCACTTCCTTACACTGTCACCAGCAGGGACAGAGAGGGACACAGCACGCCAAGAGGTCGGGGTCCAGGAGAATGGGTTCCCCTTGTCCTTTGTGGTTTTGAGGGAGGGTCCACCCCACCCAGCCCCTGCCCGCCCCAGTCCCCGCTGCCCTCCGCGCACGTGTGTGTGAGATCATCCAAGTCCGCCCGACTTCACCCTAGATGTCGTGAGCCCGAGGATGTTCGAGGAGCTCAAGAGCCAGCTGGACAGCCTGGCGCAGGAGGTGGCCCTGCTGAAGGAGCAGCAGGCCCTGCAGACGGGTGAGTGCAGGCGGCGGTCTTTCCGGGCAGTCGGGCGCCCGAGAGAAGGGCTCGGGGTGAGGGGGGCAGCCAGCAATGCGCCTGCGGGCTGCGGCCAGCACTAGGGCCTGGCCGCCTCCGTGAGGCCAGGGCACCTGGTTCAGGGAGGCCCCTGCTCAGCCTGATTCCTCCCGGGGAGACCCCCTGACATGGGGGAGTGGGAGCGTCCCAAAGGACAAAGGCTCTCCCACAAGAGTCCGTCATCACCCATGGGAAGCGGGCCCCCTGGGGCGCTCTGTGGAGCAGAGGTGGCGGCCCACCCTAATGAGCCCCCAGGAGACCCTCCACCCAGCCTGGCCCTGCAGCGTCCTGGCCCCACCCCTGCCCCGTGTGTCAGAAGTTTCCCAATCGCTCCTCCTCATCATAATCTTGCTGAAGCAGGATCTGTTGTCCCATTTGAGAGATGGGGGACTGAGCCATGGAGAGGTCCCGTTCCTCGCCCACCCTCACCCCCGGGCTGTCTAGTTCAGCTTAGGGCCCTCGTGGAAAGCTGCCCACCCACTCAGGCTTGGCCAATGGCCACGGGGGGCGGAGCCTGGCTCTGAGCTCTGCCACCCTGCCTCCCAGATTACCATCTGCCAGTCACCCTGGCTCTTCCTTAGGAAATCTGCAAACCTCCTGTGCCCACAGCTGCTCTCTCACCTGCTGCTTCTCTTGCCAAGGCGTCTCCAGGCCCTGGGTCCTGCCCTCCCCTCCTGCCTCCTCAGAAACCTGCAAGATCCTTCTCAATGGGCGGTTTTCACACACACCTTCTTCCTTTCCTTTCAGCAGTCACACGGCCATCCTTCCGTCCCTCTGACCTGCCACGCTCTGCCCCTCCACCACAGGGCCTTTGCACACGCTTCTCCGGCAGCGTGAACGGTTCCCCCAAGGCCCACATAACACATACCCGCAGCATCACCATCTCAAAGCCTCTGATCCCTCCCCTCGATCAGGCTCCCCAGTTTCAAGCTCTCGCAGAGGAACGTAAAGGAAAGAACATCCTTGATCTCATGTATTGCCATCAGTGATGTGATATGCATTGGCTGGTTTATGTCAGCCTTCCACACTACACCACGTGGCCCAGAAACACAGGGGCCACGTGTGCCTCCAGCTGCCCTGTGGGTCTCTCCCTGCACGCCCCCCAGCACAGCGCCTGCCACAGAGCAGCACTCAGGAGACCTTTGCTGAAGGAAGGAAGGAAGGACAAACATGTGACCGGACAGCTTGCTTAGCCCCGCAGTTGGGAGTGGGGGCTCTAGAAAGGGAGTGGCTGCCTTGTTTGGCTTCAAGTATCAAAAGCTTGCCTGACTGTAGCTGAAACAAAAGGTGCATGTGGACGTAGGCAGCTGCTTTTGTTCGGAAGCCACACTGCCTGGCTCCAGGGCGGCGGGCCCAGCTCCAGGCGCCATGAGTGCATTAAAGGCAGGAAGGAGGGGGACCAGCCACCTCAGTCCCATTCATCAGGAAAGTCAAGGTCTTCCAGCCTCTCAGAGCTCTGTCACATGACCACCTGTAGCTCCAAGAACGAGCTTTTGCGGAGGAGCAGACGAGGATGGGGGGAGTGGGGAGAGGGGTTGGCTGGGTCGGCCACCGTGTCTGCATGAGCACAGGGCCACCCTGGGCCTCAGTTTCCTCACCTGTACCGGGGAAGGGGTGGGGAGAGATCTGCAGGACTAGCTCGAAGCTCCCTCTCATGTCTGGGCTTTGTGCTCCTGCAAAGTCCGAGTTACCCAGCCACCACTTCCCACCCCCACCCCCCGTGAGTGAGGCGGCGTGGCGGGGACCTCCCCGCACAAAGGCCACGGCCTGTGGAAATCCCAGCCCCTCCCTCTTTGCCGATGCCCCAGAGATTCACGGTCTCCCGGCCCCCAACTCACCCCCTTCTCCATCACTACCCAACCTGTGGCTCCCCTTGTCTACAATCTCCCCAAAGCACACCTGAGCCCCGTTGGCCTGGCCAAAGAGTTGAGGGGCCAGGGGAGCAACCCCTCTCCCACCATCCGCCCCTTCTCTCCCCCAGTCAGCAACCAGGTGTGAGTCCCCCCCCCGCCCCGCCCCCCTCCCGTCACATGCATTCCCCTTAAAGGACGTGTAGGGAGAGAAAGAGGGATTGCACGCAGGGCACAGGGCCAGAGGAGGGCCGGCACGAACCCAGGGGTCGTGAGCAGGGCACAGCAAGAGTGCCAGCAATGGTGATGGGTGCCAAGGGCCGGCCTTCACGGGGGGCCAGCAGCTCTGTGGTGGAGTGGGTGCTGCAGGTGGCGTTCCCGGAGAGCAGCCCTGAGACAGAGTGTGGCCTGCGGAAGGTGTATTCGGGGTACCGTTAGGATCTGCTCCTGGGGAAGAGAGGGGCAGAAGGAAGCAGGAGTGGGCAGGGAGAGCAACTCAGCAGCCCTGTGGCCTCAAAGAAACCCTTGGCCAACAGCAGAGGGACCTGAACGACGGGAGGACCCTGCAGAGCGGTCCCAAGGTGGGCTCCTTTGGGACAGACCGGGAGCAGGCTGCCCTGGGAAGAGGCGTGGCCTTGGGCAGGGGAGCTGTCTTCCGTGGAGGGGGTTGCCAAGGGGGCCGAAAGCTAAGGGCCGTGTTCCCACGGCACTCCCAGCACCCTTCGTTCCCAAAGGGGGTCCAGGCAGCCAGCCACAGGGTCCCCAGCAGGAAGGAGAGGCGGTGTGGGGCCAGCCTGGGAGGGGCCGGGACGGCCAGCTTGCACAGCTGCATTACAGCAGGAGGGGAAGGGCTGACCTGCCTCGGGTACCATCTGGGAGTCACGTCGGCTCAGTGGTGCGCTGCAGGCGCCGAGTGTGGCGCTCCGGGGGGAGCAGCTGCCCTTGGGGACGCGCAGGTATTTGTTGAGGACGTGGAGTGGGCGTGACTGTGTGGGCGGGGGTGGGGGCGGGATGGGTGGAGTGCAGACAGTGCTAACATTTCCGGGGCCAGCAGCAGGCAGACCAATGGACGCATGCGCCCCCTCCGTCTAAAAAGAAGTTGTAAACCAAGGTGCAACCCCAACTGCTAAGTCAAAACACAGTCTAGCCTCCTCGATCTGAAAGGGAGGGCCCTTCAGTGATTACCCCACCTTGGCGGAGATGAGGGCCTATGCACACCTCCATCCAGTGGGGATGCCCCCCCACTGGGAGGGGCGTGACCCCGAGGTTAGGGGTGTGGGGTGTCTGCAGCTGAGGGGCTGACCTCATGGCCAGCAGTAGGCAGGGGCGCTAGGACTACGTCAGTGGGGGCCTGGGCTCTGCATGCGGCCCACCACAGCACACGCTTGGGTCTGGGTCCGGGGACCATCCAGGACCCAAGAGACAGTCGGGGACCCGGTGGAGGCTGCTGAGCCCACCCTGGCGGTTGGCTCTTTGGTTCCGGGACCCGGCGACCCTCGTGACGGCCATCTGTCCCCCTCGCAGTCTGCCTGAAGGGCACCAAGGTGCACATGAAGTGCTTCCTGGCCTTCGCCCCGACGAAGACCTTCCACGAGGCGAGCGAGGACTGCATCTCACGTGGGGGCACGCTGGGCACCCCGCAGACGGGCCTGGAGAACGACGCGCTGTACGAGTACCTGCGCCAGAGCCTGGGCGGCGACGCCGAGATCTGGCTGGGCCTCAACGACATGGCGGCCGAGGGCGCCTGGGTGGACATGACCGGCGGCCCCATCACCTATAAGAACTGGGAGACGGAGATCACGGCGCAGCCCGACGGCGGCAAGGCCGAGAACTGCGCCGCGCTGTCGGGCACGGCCAACGGCAAGTGGTTCGACAAGCGCTGCCGCGAGAAGCTGCCCTACATCTGCCAGTTCGCCATCGTGTAGCCCGGGGGACCCAGAGGAGGGGCCGCGTTACTTGCCCCAGCGGCGGGGGTGGGGTGGGGGGGTGGGGAGGGGCCGTGGGGGAGGGCGGGGGCTTGGGGGCCGGTGGAGGGGCCGGGGGACCTTCCAGCCTGGTACCCCTGCTCGCAGACACCCTCCAGTGCTGGGAGCCTCCGTTTGCAAATAAAGTTGGTGCAGCTTCTGGAGAGTAGCTACATCTGTGCGGGGTGCTCGGGGGCTCAGGGCGGGGGCAGGGCGTGAGAGGCAGCTGGACACACCGCGGAGAGGGGGGCCCTGGGGAGGGAGGGGAAGGAGGTCCCGCACGGCTGCCGCTTTTTCCCTCTGTATTACTTCTATTTTTCATGTCATTCCCTGCCTACAGACAAGCGGCAAGAATTCCTGTCTACCCTTCAGCCAGATTCTCCAAACTTTAACCATTTCCTGTATTCGCTCTCTCCTTTTACTTCTTCTGAACCGGTTGGCAGTCAATTGCAGGCCTGACGTCCCGTCTCCGGAAAGGAGGACGTTTTCCTAGTAAGCACAGCGCCGTTCCCCCGGTCGCGGAAATTAACGCTCTACGATATTGTCATCGAAGTTACAGCCCGGACTCAGGTGTCCAGCTGCAAACTCCACCTCCCTGTGTTGGAATCCAGCATCCCCTCCCCAACCTCAGGGCGGGGGCGGGGGAGGGACCCCCTCCCACACACCCTTCCTGTCCTGGATCCCTTTCTGGGGTGCGCTGACATGCTGAGTCCTGCTGGGGGTGGGGGTGGGGCTGAGAGCAGAGGCTGCCCACGGGGGGATTTGCAGCCCCTCCTTGCTGACACACTCTGGGAGTGGGCGGGAGGGTCCGGAAGCCAAATATGACACAGGCCTACACTGCCTGACTGGTGCGTCCCCCTTCTCCCCACTCCTCACAGAAAACTCCGTGTTAACAATGGCGGCTCCCATTCGTTGGGTCCCCCGTGCTGCGGGAACTTTAAGGGTGTTTCTTGTTTAATTTTACCCCCCAAGACAAGATGGGCTGTGATGCTGAAGAGAATGTTGAAGCTCAAGGAAGTTAAGCGACTTCCTCTGGTCGCCAGCCGGCAAGTAGCAGGGCCAAGATTTAACTCGGGCTGATTTATAAGGGCCTTGGCCTTCCTGCTGTCACTGTGATGCCTGCTGCCTGTCCTGGAATGTTCCTGGGATGACACGTCAGAGGAGTGGCCTAGGTGTCCCCAGAGGCTACTGGCCGGCTCCTGGCTCCCCCGGGCTTTTCCAATCAGGCAGGCCCCCCCAGAGGCACACCTGCCAGGTGCCGTCAGCCGCGGCGTCGCCCACTGTCTGGGCTGCCGAAGCACCTTTCCCTGCCCGGGTGTCTTTGGGAGGGTGTCACTTGCACTGAGAAATCGGCGACAGTTGGATTGCACGTGTGGTCGTCAGGGGGTGGGCTGGGGGAGGTGGCATACCGGGCCAGAGAGCCTGCTTGGCATCGCCACGGAAGGCGTCTCCTGTAATTCCACAATTATGGGAAGAGGCAGTGACGTCCGTCATAGCTGCAGAAGCTCAGGCTCAGAGGGGTGATGTGATTTGTTCAAGAAGGCGCAGCGAGCCCGAGGCAAAGCTGAGGTTCGAGTGCAGGTCTTGCAACTGATCTCGGGCTCTTTGCACCCACTCAGCCATATCTAGCAGGAAGTAGGTGGCCAGAGGGTTTTCAGAGTTCCTGAAGTGGGTGGCCTCTGTGCCTGAGCGTGGATCCCTGTGCACCGGCTTGGGCAGGCAGGGAGAATTACTCACTTCCAGCAGCAGGTGGCAGTATGAGCCAGGGAACCGTTACCCACCTTTAACCCGCCACCATTGCTGGAGCATTTGGTCTCACACCGGTCTTTGCTGCCTTATACCTACCCGTCTTGGGACTTTCATTTTAAATGTTGACGTTGTGTTCATCATGGCTTTCTTTGCATTTTCATTTTTTAAATATCTCATGCAAGCATTATTTGTCATATTACTGAGGGTTTTTTTCATACTTCCTTAAACTTGGTGCCCCAGGTGAGCGCGTCACTCGCTGCACTAGTCCCCACCCTGGCTCAGAGGTACAGTGTTTGGAGACTCTCCCAGGGTGTGTATGAGCAAGGGACAGGGATCAGTGGCCAGACCTTCGACCTCTGTGTTGCTCTATGAAAAGGGGTGGCGGTGGCCTCTTTCCCAGTCTCCTGTCCCCGCTCTGCTGTGGCCTGTTGCCAGGTCAAACAAAGGGATGATTTGAAATATGGGTGTAGGTGTTGAGGAAGCAAAAGCCGGGGTGAAACCCCCTTTTGCCAGGTGTCCAATGCAGAGCGCTGTCGACCTGTCCCTCAAGGACAAGCGACATCACTCTTTTCAGTCCCACCAACTTCCCTACCTGATCCATGTTTCTCAGCCTTTGCAACTCTCAACGTGAAACACTGAATGGGTGTCGGTGCTGAACCCTGCCTGCTTCGCTCTAGGAGGCGTGCACCAACTAGCAAGGACAAATCCATGTTTATAAAAATGTGCACTGCGCCTGTGATGTTTGGCTCCAGCAGTGTGTGCTAACAGTGCGTGGGGCGGGACAATGCCGGCAAAGTCCGTTTGAAGAGCACTGGCCAGACCCTTGCTCCGAGGGCATGCACTGAAAGGCCGTGACCCCACAGTGGAGAGAGAGCAGCTGAGCAGGAGGAGGCGGCCTCTGTGAAGAAGGTCTTTCCCCCTCTGTTCCTGTTCCTTACCAGTGCCTTGCGCCCAGGCCGCAGCCCCACTGCGCTCACTTGCCGGTCCCATCACTGCGGCTGCTCCTGTTCCCACCCTCCTTTTTGCATTTGGCCCCTCCTTCGGCCCGGCTGTCCCACTACAGGAGGAAGGGCAGACGGAGACTCCTGGCGAGAGAGGGGGTCCCTGGGAGACCAGGGCTGGGGGCTGGGTGGTCCTCACTGTGGGATGTGGCTAAGGCCTGCGGGGCATCTCGGCCTTCAGTTCATTCACCTGCAAAGTGAGGTTTAGACCAGAAGCTGCAGAGAGCGCGTGCACACGAATGACGTGAGCGTGTGTTGCTGGGGAGGAGGGAGCGAGGGGCCTGTTTTAGCCGGGTTGTGTTATCTCTTACAGGTGCACAACCTATAGACCCTTCCAGCTGCTTGGCTGTCAGCACACGCGAAGGCCGAGGTCGAGTGCGGGATTTCCTTTTTCGGTATCCACAATGAAAGTGGTTCGTTAAAGAGCAATACCGAGAGATCGCTGCAATATGTTTTAATTAGTTCATAGATTAATATAGCTTGTTTGCTAAAGAACTCACAATGTAGTCTGTTGCCTAGGGAACAGGGCTAGCAACAACAGCTCAGAATTGGGAAAATCAAATGAAAATCGGCAAAGCAGCTTTATCACCTGTTATTACCGCCTCTCCCACCACGGCCCCACAATTCGTGCCTCTCCTCGTTTAGAAGGGTCGCAGCAGCTCCAGAAAGCAGGCCTTGCTTGCTGAGCCAATGAGTGGATGCGACCACCTAAGGTCTGGAATCTCCTCCCTCCCCACCGTAACCCAACCCTTGTCTGAACTCTCCCTCACGGCCCGCCACATGGCGCACATGGTGTGTGCTCAGTCAGAGTGGATCAGAATCATGGGACTGAATGACATACCCAAGCAGAGTATACCACACAGTTTAGTGCCTCCACGCTGACCTTCCTCACGCAGCCCAGAGCAGGCGCGATGCCACGCTCAAGCATGGCTCAGCCTGGGCATGGACCTGGAGGCACCTGGGAAATCTTGCGCTATTTGTGCGAGGTGGCACGTCTGTGCTCGCAGCGTCTGTAGCGAGTGTGCATTTCTGTCCTAAAAATCAATGTCCCTGGCCTGGAGAAAATAAATGAGATTGATTTTTTTTTTTTAAAAAACACCAAAGACAAAGGCTTTTAGGGAAGGAGCTTGTTATCTGTGTTATTTATGGGAAACGTAATTAAAATACAGCTTCTTCCCGGATGCACCAGAGTGACTCGGTGCTAGACGTTTTTAAAAAGGTATGAGCCGTTTTTATCGTCATGATCGGAAGTGTCGCTGTTGCCAGTGTTTCTCAAAGAGCGCAGCTGCAGAAATATCACCGGGTCGAGTTTCGAGAGGCGGTGAGGGAGATTTCTGGAAAGATCTGACTGCTGACTGTAAGAGTCACTCCTGGAGAACACATTTCCCCATTATCCTTCCTCTGGTTGCTCACCTGGAAAATGAATGGGTTGGTCACCAGATAATCTTTCACATTCCCATTCTGATTTTTTCAAAAACCTTTGCTTTTTTGCCAGCTGCAGTGAAGCACAATTAGTCATCTAGTACTGAATTAGGAATCCATGTGAGTGTTTTATTCTTTTTTTTAGTTTTTTTTTTGTTTTTAAAGGTGAATCTGTAAGGAAAGGCTTCCTCCTCCTCTGGGTGTCCGGAAGTATTCGTTTGCATAAGTATTTCGTTTCAGACAGAAAGTCTGAGCACGGCGGGAGGCCAAAGTCTGGCCTCTGCAAGCGGAGCGCGGACTAGAGAATGCAGGACCTCCTGATCAGTGTGCGCGCCTCTTCAATCAGGCTTATGGAGGTGTCATTCACATGCAGTGAAGTGCACCCACTTTAAGTGTGCAGCGGGTCAGTGGTGACGAATGTTTGCCCCCAAGAGAAACTACAGCCCCCGTTGTGACACAGGCCATTCCCACCCCCGAGAAGGCTCCCTCCTGTCCTCATCAGCCTGGGTCTTCCACGTGGGGGGTCTTTCCCAAGCACCCCTCTGCTGACTTTGGTAGGGACACAGAGGAAACCGAGGCTGAGAGCCTGCACGAGGTGCCAGGGGCAGCTCACAGGCCAGTGCCGGAGGGGAGGCGGGACTTCAACCAGCACGGCCCCGGTTTAACGAGCCGGGCCTCTGCTACTGGGTGAGGAAGCAAGACTCTGTTTAGACCTTTGGATGACGCCCCCCGCCTGGGGGCGTCCTACTTCCCCCAGCATCCCCAGCGCTTCCCTGAGCTGCTCTTGGTCGCCTCCCCGGCCTCTAATCCTTTCTTCGGGACAGATCGGC